TATCTCTGAGGTTGCACCTATCCTGACCTATCCTGAGATGGTATATATAACCCAGAGGCTCACTCCACTCAGTGGGCTCTCACTCTACTCACTCCTGTGTGGGTATTGTGACCAGGTCCCTTATTGATTCATTTTATATAAAGTTAATATTCTGATTGGTAATTGACCTTGTCTCTCCACATCATTGATTAAAATATCCACTGCATGCTTCACGGTGGGAACTACACATGCGGAGATCATCCGTTCACCCACACTGCGTCTCACAAAGACACAGCGGTTGGAACCAAAAATCTCCCAATTTGGACTCCAGACCAAAGGACAACTTTCCACCGGTCTAATGTCCATTGCTAGTGTTTCTTGGCCCAAGCAAGTCTCTTCTTCTTATTGGTGTGCTATAGTAGTGGTTTCTTTGCAGCAATTCAACCATGAAGGTCTGATTCATACAGTCTCCTCTGAACAGTTGATGTTGAGATGTGTCTGTTACTTTAACTCTGTGAAGCAATTATTTGGTCTGCAATTTCTGAGTTTGGTAACTCTAATGAACTTATCCTCTGCAGCAGAGGTAACTCTGGATCTTCCTTTCCTGTGGCGGTCCTCATGAGAGCCAGTTTCATCATAGCGCTTGATGGTTTTTGCAACTGCACTTAAAGAAACATTCAAAGTTCTTGAAATGTTCCGTATTGACTAACCTTTGTGTCTTTAAAGTAATGATGGACTGTAATTTCTCTTTGCTTATTTGAGCTGTTCTTGCCATAATATGGACTTGGTCTTTTACCAAATAGGGCTATTTTCTGTAACCCCACCTATCTTGTCACAAAACAACTGATTGGCTCAAACGCATTAAGAAGGAAATAAATTCCACAAATTAACTTTAAGAAGGCACACCTGTTAATTGAAATGCATTCCAAGTGACTACCTCATGAAGCTGGTTGAGAGAATGCCACGAGTGTGCAAAGCTGTCATGAAGGCAAAGGTGGCTACTTTGAAGAAACTAAAAAATAAATATATTTTGATTTGTTTAACACTATTTTGGATACTACATGATTCCATATGTGTTATTTCATAGTTTTGAAGTCTTCACTACTATTGTACAATGTAGAAAATAGTAAAAATAAAGAAAAACCCTTGAATGAGTAGGGGTGTCCAAACTTTTGACTGGTAGTGTGTATATATACTACAGTTCAAAGGTTTGGGGTCACTTAGAAATGTCCTTGTTTTCGAAAGAAAAGCAATGTTTTTGTCCATTAAAATAGCATCAAATTGATCAGAAATACAGTGTAGACATTGTTAATGTTGTAAATGGCTATTGTAGCTGGAAACGGCAGATTTTTTATGGAATATCTGTCACGAGAATTTCTATCTCTAATTAAACTCAAGCTTGAATAATTCCCAGAGGATGTAATGCTCTGGTTTTAATCATGAATTAAACAAGGTCCACAACCAGCAAGAATGATCTGTTTTATTTAATCATGGAGAGCTTTCCCGCCAAAACACACACACAACCTTTTATAACCCTTCACACAAAGGAACTTTGCTCCGCCCACCTTTAGGCGGCCTGTACATTTCCACGGTATAGAATGATTAACTAGTTTCTAAGTCCCCTCCCTCCTGGAATGTTTGTCTCAGCAGTTTCTAACTCACCCCCTCTGTTAGTGGGTTTATAATGATAACCCTAACACAGTCCACACAGTCATCATCAGTATTGGGGTGGAACAATATTAGTCATAATCATAATTCCTCTATCAATATCTACATAGGCGTACAGAGGCCCATTATCAGCAACCATCAGTCCTGTGTTCCAATGGCACGTTGTGTTTGCTAATCCAAATTCATCATTTTAAAAGGCTAATTGATCATTAGAAAACCCTTTTGCAATTATGATAGCACAGCTGAAAACTGTTGTGCTGATTAAAGAAGCAATAAAACTTGCCTTCTTGAGACTAGTTGAGTATCTGGAGCATCAGCAATTGTGGGTTCGATTATAGGCTCAAAATGGCCAGAAACAAATAACTTTCTTCTGAAACTCGTCAGTCTATTCTTGTTCTGAGAAATGAAGGCTATTCCATGCGAGAAATTGCCAAGAAACTGAAGGTCTCGTACAACGCTGTGTACTACTCCCTTCACAGAACAGCGCAAACTGGCTCTAACCAGAATAGAAAGAGGAGTGGGAGGCCCCGGTGCACAACTGAGCAAGAGGACAAATACATTACAGTGTCTAGTTTGAGAAACGGATGCCTCACAGGTCCTCAACTGTCAGCTTCATTAAATAGTACCCGCAAAACACCAGTCTCAACGTCAACAGTGAAGAGGCGACTCCGGGATGCTGACCTTCTAGGCAGAGTTGTAAAGAAAAAGCCATGTCTCAGACTACACATTTTAATATTTTATTTTTATTGGCCAGTCTGAGATATGGCATTCAAATTACCATCGATAAAAGGCAATTGTGTTCGTTGTCCGTATCTTATGCCTGCCCTTATCATAACCCCACCGCCACCATGGGGCACTCTGTTCACAACGTTGACATCAGCAAACCGCTCGTACACACGACGCCATAAACATTGTCTACGGTTCTCTAAAACGATGTTGGAGGTGGCTTATGGTAGAGAAGTTATTTAACTAATTATGTGACTTCTGAAGGTAATTGGTTGCACGCAACACTTTTCCATTATTATTATTTTTTTTGTTGATTGCTCATCTCTGTCATCTAAACATCTTTAAAACAGATTGTGCAACACATCTAGGATTTAGTTTGCTGAAGATATTTTAGAAGAGTAATTGGTGCAGATCTTGATAGACCCATGTAGTAATACCGACCCTAAAATCCCAGTCATGTCACTGAAAAGTTCTCAATAAGTCAACATAAGTAGCCTAGTTGATTTTCTTATTTGCACATTATATCTGTGGTTTAATTTAAAATGATAAACTGACCTCCCCAGTTCCCAGCTCTGTGTGCTTAACCAGACCTCAGCCATGTGTGTGATGATGGGAGGCTGTCAGGACCTGATGCTAACAGACTTTGAAGATGTGTATGTCCTTCTAATCATACAGTCTAACAGTATTGCATGACTTTGTCTTCTCTTCTTTGAGGAGAGACAAAACTGGGTCAATTTATGTAATCCTGAAATTACGATTATAATGATGCACACTCTTTAAAGATCTATTAAATTGCCTCGTCCTTGAATCGAATTGGTAAAGTTAGCCTTTTAAGTTTTGTCAGAGATTACAGTAAATGTAGTCTGCATTGTCTGATGTCTACATTGTCAGTATTCTAGAACAGCATGGGATGTCTGTTTTTAAAGTGTACTGTAGCTCAAAGCTGTACAGTCCAATAAAGACCAAAGAATAATGCTCATTCATGAGCAGTAAGGCCAGTTACATGTAGCTAACTGCTTTGCCAACTGGGATGGGGTTCAGAGGTATTGCTGGGTGAATTGTCGGAGTTCATGATATATTTGATGTTTTTGTCAGGGAGAGAGAGGGATGGATTTGGGGATGAGAGCGGGTAAGGTTGAGGGGATGAGGTGTGTGTGTGTGTGTGTGTTTGTTTGTCTATTTGTGTATGATTCTGTGAGTGTGTGGTTGGTTTTCTGTGTGTGTGATTGGGGGATCGAGGGTCAGGTGAACAGCTTGCATTGGCCAATGGCTCCGCAGGCTAGTCTCCCGCATCACTTAACAGCCATGCACAGTGCACACTAATTGAATGATCTAGTTAAGCGAACTGCGTGGCTGAAGCTAGACCTGGTTGTCAGCACAAATCAGCGCTGACAGTTCTTTCTGTATGAGTGTCGATAGCGTTCAGCCATGCAATCCTTTTGTTTTATCTGCGAAAATCCACCCCGTTATTGGATTTGAACATGATCCTATTAATATTATCTTATGATGTGATTATTATGAGCATAAAGGTGTTAAGGGAACACGGGAATAGACTACAGAGTCTGGCAGTACGGGACTTGTGGCAACTTAACTACTAACATTGTCAACTAGCAAGGCAATTCCTCTTGCCGTTTATCTTGCATTTTTATGTCAAATTCTGTATTTTTCCCAACGCATTTAGCCTAAACATAAAAATAATTACATTTATATTGGTTTTGCTATGCCTGCATGGGTTTCACCCTGTATTAAAAGGGCAGTATACATGCCAAGCCATTTTAAAATTATTTAGGAAAACCAATCAAGGAGGTACATTTTTGGTCAACATCAAATGTTGTTCTGCTTCTAAGTACGCATAATTATTGTTGCGTAAGGCAACACACGGGATTTGTTACTCACTGGCTGTTTTGCCCAGCTCTTGGTTTCTGTCTTGGAAACCACTCCTACTGGCCCCCCAGACCCTCCCTAAGTATCAGTCAGATCCTCAAGTTGCTCAGCCACTGACTGTCCCAAGTGGCTGTTGCATCAGTGCTTGGAAAGGGGTATGTCACATTTACTATGGAAATCTCAAAGGTAAGGCGATTGCAGTGTTTTTGGGATGTATTTGGCGGCCTTAAAAATTCAGACTAAAGGTGGAATTTTTATTTGTCTACCCATTGTTAGTATTTGAATGTAGTGGGATGGCAGACTATTTAGCCTACCTAATATCTCGCATATTGCTTGTGTTTGTTTTCAAATTCAATTTGTTGCTTTTGGGGAAAAAACGTAATAATCAAACAATTTGATGTAATGTTTTTATATAAAAATGCATATACAATTCTAAATTCAATATGACCAAGATATGACTTTCAATAAGTTTTAAAGCTCTCTATCTCAAATATTCTAAACAGGCCTATTTCAACAGTGGAAACTGAAAATGTATGTTTTGCTGGACATGATGCATAGGATCATATCTTCCAGCTAGCTAGCCAGGGGAACTTGATGTGATTGTGACTGTAAGCACTGTTTGAGTGATGTAACCCAGAGATGTAACCTTCTGGGAAGTCATCGCAGCCATCCGTCTGCTGTGATTGCGCACAACTTTCCCCTGTCTTTCCTGACAAATCACCATTACACTTTATTAATCAACCATGGAAAGTAGGTATTCACACCATGCCCAATGGGATTTGGAGGAATGTGGGCCTCTGCTAGCCGGGTGAGAAGCCACAGTCTCGCTGTCTTTAGTGGAATTACTTTCACCTCACAGACATTTTATAATGCAGCCTTTGAGGACATTGTGGACCCGGGTCTATTTAATTACAGTTGAGTTGCACTGAACCCACCCTTGTTTAATCCCAAGGTGACGTTAGTTAGTTCGTTAACAAGGGTATCTACGTGTGCCACTTTAAATGATTGGTACTGAAATTATTTTTGGTTACAACGTCCGCTTGCCGTGCGGTAGCAGAGAGAACAGTCTATGACTAGGGTGGCTGGAGTCTTTGACAATTTTTAGGGCCTTCCTCTGACACTGCCTGGTATAGAGGTCCTGGATGGCAGGAAGCTTGGCCCCAGTGATGTACTGGGCCATATGCACTACCCTCTATAGTGCCTTGTGGTCAGAGGCCGAGTAGTTGCCATACCAGGCAGTGATGCAACCAGTCAGGATGCTCTCGTTGGTGCAGCTGTAGAACCTTTTGAGGATCTGAGGACCCATGCTGGTTGCATGCCTAGTCAGGATGCACGCAGGAGCTGTCAGTAAATGCCAGGGAGCTTTGGGTGGCCAGCAGGCCTCGTAGACTGGAACTTCACAATAACAGCAGGCAGTAATGAAGATGGGCAACAGCGCCAGGCAGCTATTAATATCAGTGTACTATAGTATTATCAGGAGCTCTGGTTCTTCCTGTTTGTCTTGGTCCATTCTGTATTTTCCTGTTGGCAGTTTGGTCTCTACTCTACTGTGTGTAGTGTAGTAGTAGGCTGCTCCTCTGGGAGTCTGGTCAGGCCCTAGGTTGGGTTTACAATCAAGTGGAGATTGAGCATGTCTATTACTACGACATTGACCATGCTTTGTTAGGTGTGTGCCGCTCTCCATTCAATTAGTTGGTATGGTACAGTAGGTCTGTACGTGTTTTAGTCAGATGTGGACCAAGACCTAGGCAGGTTTAATAAAATGAATTTGGTTATCTTTTTTATCTTTCACAATAACTAAAATAACTGTGTTAAAGTATGACAAGCCAATAAGCCATGCTTGCACCAAATGACCCATATTCAAACTGACCCATTTGAGTGGTCATATTTGAGATATATCACCTGAGTGTATATACAGTATTTGCCCAAGTCTTAGCACCGAGTGCTGAATGGGAATCCTCTTTACATAAACTTTGAGCACACTCACCCTTTCGCACTTCCTTGCACGATTTTAAAACCTGTCTCTCGCTTTCCCTCTTTCCCCCCTCCTCTCCCTTTCCCCCCTCCCTCTCTCTTTCCCCTTCCTCTCTCTCTCGGGGTGCACCTGTGTGCAGTGCGCTAGAAGAGGGCAGGGTATTGGGAGTTAGGTTGGGTCCACTGATTTGGAAGGGCCCCTCAGAGAGATGGCGAGAGAGCGACCGATAGAGAGAGAGGGCTATGTCCTGACCATGTGTGCATCTTACGTAAAGGGCAGATGGGCCCAGCTGGGCGTGCGATGTGGATGGGAAGGAAAGAGAAGAGATGGGCTGAGTGTGTGGATCTGAATGGGGCGGTCTGTCTGCTCTGTGCTGTTCACTGCAGTGACTGACCAGGCAGGTTGCTCCAGGGAGTACACACCACGGGCCTAAACACTGAACAGCCAGCATCCAGAGCAACAGACCAAATGGCACCCTATTCCCTATTTAGTGCTCTTCATTTGACCAGGACCCATAAGGTGTAGGGAAAGGTTTACATTTGGCAAATAGCCCAGCCAGAGAGACAGCCTGGAGACAGTATCAGAACAGATAGTGGAGTGGAGAGGAGTTGGAATAAAGCAAATCCTAGAAATAATTTTACTTCCATAGTTTGCCAATAGTTTTCCAATCTCTAATGCATGGGAAAAAGTCCTATCAATGCTTGATTAAAGCAGTAGTTCCCAGCCAGGGGTACTAGAACCCCTGGGTGTACTTGGCCAATCCACAGGGGGTACTTGAGAGGACTCATGAAACCATAGGCCTACTGGTAAAATGTACATAAAGTGGTACTTCAGGGGTACTCCAGGCAGAGCAAAATTCAGTTGGTGGGACAGTAACCGAAAAAGGTTGGGAACCACTGAATTAAAGGATGAGTAAGTTATTGCAGAACCTAGCACAACTGCAAATCCCAATAAAAATACATCATGTTTTGAATCACTTTCCTTGCTTTGTCTAACACTACTATCATGAATCTAGCAAATAAGTTTTGTGGGTCAGAGTGCAGTATTTATTTAGTTTTATAGCACAAGTGTTTGCTAGCAAGTCTCTCACATTGGCTTTAACTGGGGCCAGTCCAGGGGGTTGCCTAGCAACAAGTGCCTTGGAGGGAGGCAATGTCTACATCAATGTCTACATGGCACGATAAAATTCCCATGATTTGTAAATCGGATCAGACCGAACATCTAGCATGACAGCTAAAATGGCTTTGAAAAAATAACATTTAAAATAATAGGGAGAAGTATCTAACAAAATAACTACATACCCTAATCATAAAACTATTGAAATATATTAGAATTCTGGGTACATTGTGGACAAAATTCCAACTTACTCAACATTCAAGCCTAGATGGAGAATGTGAAGTCAAAGTTCAGTCTATATTTTATGTGCTGAGTTTGTTACTATGAGTAAACTAAACTCAGCAAAAAAAGAAATGTCCCCTTTTCAGGACCCTGTCTTTCAAAGATAATACGTAAAAATCAAAATAACTTCACAGATCTTCATTGTAAAGGGTTTAAACACTGTTTCACATGCTTGTTCAATGAACCATAAACAATTAATGAACATGCACCTGTGGAACGGTCGTTAAGACACTAACAGCTTAGAGCAGCTTAGGCATGCTGCAAGGAGGCATGACAACTGCAGATGTGGCCAGGGCAATAAATTGCAATGTCCGTACTGTGAGACACCTAAGACAGCGCTACAGGGAGACAGGACGGACAGCTGATCGTCTTCGCAGAGGCAGACCATGTGTAACAACACCTGCACAGGATTGGTACATCAGAACATCACACCTGCGGGACAGATACAGGATGGCAACGACAACTGCCCGAGTTACACCAGGAACGCACGATCTCTTCATCAGTGCTCAGACTGTCCGCAATAGGCTGAGAGAGGCTGGACTGAGGGCTTGTAGGCCTGTTGTATGGCAGGTCCTCACCAGACATCACCGGCAACAACGTCGCCTATGGGCACAAACCCACTGTCGCTGGACCAGACAGGACTGGCAAAAAGTTCTCTTCACTGACGAGTAGCGGTTTTGTCTCACCAGGGGTGATGGTCGGATTTGCGGTTATCGTTGAAGGAATGAGCGTTACACAGAGGCCTGTACTCTGGAGCGGGAGCAGGATCGAGGGTGAGTGCTAGGGCCATTCCCCCCAAGAAATGTCTGGGAACTTGCAGGTGCCTTGGTGGAAGAGTGGGGTAACATATCACAGCAAGAACTGGCAACTCTGGTGCTGTCCATGAGGAGGAGATGCACTGCAATACTTAATGCAGCTGGTGGCCACACCAGATACTGACTGTTACTTTTGATTTTGACCCCCCCTTTGTTCAGGGACACATTATTCAATTTCTGTTAGTCACGTGTCTGTGGAACTTGTTCAGTTTATGTCTCAGTTGTTGAATGTTGTTATGTTCATACAAATATTTACACATGTTATGTTTGCAGAAAATAAACGCAGTTGACACTGAGAGGACGTTTCTTTTTTTGCTGAGTTTATGAGTTGCCACCAGGCCCGCCGCTGCTAAATCGTTGCCGCCACTCCCAGAAAATATGATTTTTTTTTTTTTAAATAACAACAAAAATGACAAAATATTTGCTGAGACGCTTTTAAAGGGATAGTGCGAAAATTCCGCAATTAAGCCTATTTCTACCTACCAGATGAACTCATGGATACAATTTTCATGTCTCAACACACAGTCTATGGGAACAGCTAGCATGCTAAATGGCTCACAAAACTGCCTTCAACTTCCTTCAAACTGCACGCAGAGCAGGGGTTGGAACCCAAATTATTTTCCAATCGTTTCGTTTTTAACGGAAACATTTATTTTTTTCGTTCCGTTCCACTGTTCCGAACCAAAAAAAAGTAACGGTTTATATTGTTCCTTTATGTTCCTTTTTAAACCTCTGAAATATATATATTTTTTACATTTAGCTCAACATTAAATGACTTCACTAATCAGTGCGGATAGAGCAGCTTGCTATGGAGCGAGCAAGCTATTTGCTGTACATGCATTGGATAGATGAGTGTAGGGCGCAAGACTCGACTGATATTTTGCAGGTGGGGAGACAGTGAGAGAGGATGGAGGAGGAGGAGGAGGCTTGGCTTGAAGCCCTTGGCATCTTGTTGTTATGACATGCATTTTCTGAAATAGGCCCACAGAATTATACCTATGGAGGAGTGGCTTATATGAAGGAACTTTGAATGTCTTTGAACTTCAGAGAGTTGGCTTAACATTGGACCAGCTAGCTAGCTAACAAGCTTGTGTCTGCAGAGCGGCACCAGAATTAAAATAAAAACACATTTTACCTTTTTGTAGTTAATAAGTCCAATGTGAAACGTGATAACTATAGTATCCTTAACTAGCACTGAAAAATGTAATCCATTCTTCTCTAAATAAAATCTCTCTCCCTAATTTCTGAATCACACTTGTAACGTCAGTAGGCTTCTAGACTATGCTTCAGAAGGGGAGGGGCAGGTTGCCTACGCACACACACTGGCAAAGCTTTTCAGCTGGCAGGCAGGCCGACACTGGAATACGTTTCTAAGTGACAGAGTGAGGGCTTTGCATAGGCGCTTTGTTGCGATTTTTGTGGGACTGAAAAATTTTAACGTTATTAACCCATGCTTTTAAAATAATGGTTATGTTCCAGAACATTATAGATCACGTTTGTTCCCGGTTCTGATTCTGTTCCTCGAAAAATGTCTTTATTTTCCGGATTTCAGTTCTGTTCCCTGAACCGGTTCCAACCCCTGACGAAGAGACATAAAAATGGTATCCATGAGTTCATCTGACTCTGGGTAAGTAGAAAAAGGGCTTAATTGCCATAATCTTGCACTATCCCTTGAGAGCCACGAGCGCACAGCCACGGCTTGCTCCTCATCATGCCCCAGACCCCTCTAGCAAATAGCAATCGACCCCCCCCCCCCCCCCCGCTACATTCTACAACGTTGCTGAAATAAATCCGAGGGGAAAACACTAGCTATGTTTCCACTAACTCATCCACTGATTTTCTGGCGACATTTAGAAAGTTTGCATACAAAATAGATGCAACAATTGCTTGTTACGGTGTGTTTCCATTGAACTGTCTTGTGTCACTAAAAACAAATGTACGTAATTCCTTCACACCAAAAATAATAATAATTAAGTGGTTGAAGTGTTTCCATGATCCAAATTGCGAATTAATACATTGGCGACAGCCTGCATATGCCCTCCCACCTTTCTGTTTCATGTCTCAGGTAGCCCGCAAAAGCCAGCATGGATAGAATGCAATAATTTACTAATATTTGCCATATTCTAATAATTATCCAGTGCCAATGTATCGCCACGGTCCGTGCCATAGTGAAACTTGCACTCCTGTAGATCTGAAATAATTGGATGGTAAAACTTGCATTCAGCCAACCGGAAAAGTAAGGCGAAGCAATTCAGGTATTCTTGAAAGTCAGGACAAAGATCCTGCAAAAAAACATAATTTTATATTTGAAGAAATTGAATTAGCAAGCTGTAAGCGTTTAGAATTAAAAATGTGGCGCTTTATAGTCACGTTATGACATCGTGTCCCGCGTACCTTTTTTAAATTATTCCGCAATTATAATTTATTCGAAAAACACTGTTTCTATCATAAAGAAAGTTCAGGCAAAGAAAATTCCACCTCTGTCGAACGGATAACATTTTTGCTGATCTTTAGAACATTTATCCAATAGTTGCCGTTTCCATTAGGCCTACACATGTCGCATAAACCTGGGTCTGTGGAAACCTGTCTACTGATCATGTGTTGAAAGCATTGGCTTCTCACAGGTGGGAGAGCTGGAGGTCGGGGGGCAGCAGGCTACATGTAGCCCAGTCTGTCTGCTGTCTTTTGTGCTGTACTGTTCTGTGAGGGTTGGCTGGGCTCTCATTTCAACCTGGGCCCTCTCGGCTGTGCAGCTGGCCTCACCTCACACTGAGCAGGTGTGCGCCTCCTCCAGACTCAGCACTTAAAACATACACAACACACACAAACACAGACATCACGCTGAGGGGAGCAGTCTCGAGACACAGCCTTGAGATGTGCACCCGCACAGGTGCACAAGTCTCATGCTCAATGGCCAGCCAAAGATAACTAAAGGGACATTTTGGCTGTAATAATGTTATTGATTTGCAAGAGTTCTGTTTGGTGATATTGTATTTATTCTCTCTTCAGTTTACAATTCAAGACCGAAGGGTTGGGGATTGTTGTGAAAAGTTTACATTTATTTTGAAATAGAACATTTGGGCGCAACCAGACTCCAAGGATGACTACGGAGCAATCACGAAAATATGGGATTTTTCTGTTTTGTTTTTCCATTTTTGGCTGATGAATAAGTCGCCTGCCTGCGTGAGGCCGACTCTCTGCTGGGAGCAATGGTCCAGGGAACTCAGCAAGCAGACTCCAATGGGGTGTGTGTGTGTGTGTGTGTTCGTTCGTTCGTACTGAGCCTTCATTTAACATTTTAGTCATTTTAGTCATTTAGCCTTTGCCTTCCATGGCAATGACTGCACGTTAACCAATGTGCACATTCCACAGTGCACTCCAGGCCACACCATAAGAGACACCAAAATCCCACAGCAATCCCAACCTTTGTCACATTTATGATTACTACAGTATAACATTTACCTGAAGGAGTTGTATTAAGTGTAATATATACAATTATTTGTTATACTGCTTCTGTGGTGTCATGTGAGGGAACAAGTGTTGCTCTATCTGTGTGAGTTGGAGGCAGATAAGCGTAATGGAGGCTCAGTAGTCAACTCCTGGGGTGAGTGAGGAGGTCAAGTCAGAACGAGGACCATCTGACACCAACAGATGGAGGGAGCAAACTTCAAATCAGGACTATAAGACCAAATGTTGATTTTGTGCACACAACAAATGGTTATTTCAGTTTAAATCAATTTCGCTCCAATGGGCCCATCTCGACTTTGGAATTCTAACATGCAATGTAGAACTAGGCCTATAACTGGACAAAAGGAAAGAAGTACTCTAGAATTAAATCATTTGTTCATTTTGCCAGCTGCAGTTTTAGCCTAACCACTGGACATCTAGTACAGTATAGTGTTACTGTCTACTCACTAGTACAGTAGCCTATTTCACACTGTCTTGCTGGTTTGTGTTCAATATTGGTGCAAAGTGCACCCTGGAACTTTACATTCAGCTGAATGTAGTTGGTCTAATAGGCCTGTTTGTTGAGTTGGTTGTTGTTGATTTGAATATGGTGTCTCATTGAGAGAATCACCTACCTACTCCAGTCTGGAGGTAGACTAGATACAGGTCCTCTCTAACGTTCTAACGTCTCTAATGTTCTTCTCTCTTTGTGTTCTAGAATGGAGCTGTTCCAGGGGAACCCGTGAAGACGGATAAGAACTCCAGGAGAGGGAACTGGGGGAACCAGATAGAGTTTATCCTCACCAGCGTGGGCTATGCTGTGGGCCTGGGAAACGTATGGAGGTTCCCCTACCTCTGCTACAGAAATGGAGGAGGTATGTCTTCACACTCAACACACTAATTATATAGTAGTAATGACAGCAATGCATTCTAGTTTATCCACAATACCTTTTGTCAGTGCTTTGAAAAGCAATCAAAGTAGCATGATTTGTCAAGTATGCTCAAGTTTAAGTTCCTCACGTTGTGTCAGATGGATCCAAGTTATTCTTGGCTTCATTCCCCCTCAATTCAAATGTTTTCACTCCTACAGTTGGCTTTAGTCTTCTACATTACATTACATTATAGTCATTTAGCAGACACTCTTATCCAGAGCGACTTACAGTTAGTGCATACATTTTTTTTCTTCTCATACTGGTCCCCCGTGGGAATCGAACCCACAACCCTGGCGTTGCAAGCGCCATGCTCTACCAACTGAGCTACACGGGACTACATTTTGCGACCAGGGATCGCCATAGAAGGGCATACATATACAGTAGCCTGTGCATTAGGTCACACAATCAAATAGCTGAGTATTATAGCCAAGGGGACTGGTGTAGCTCAAGGCTAATAACATCACAATAGACTTTATCAGCTGGCTGTGGCCTGGTCTGTGGCCCAAAAGGCACTATATAGGGAATATGGTGCCATTTGGGACGCAGGCGGTCTGCTCCTCACTCTCCAGTCCTTCCTTTAACCCATGATCTCAGACTACAGCACCAAAGGTCATTATTCCCCAGATCCATTGGCCCCAGTGGCCCCCCGTTAAACCAATCAAGCAGACAGAGGATTGCTGCCTCGCTTAGCATCCCTCTCTGTCTGATGCTCCTTAGGACTCAAATCAAATCAAATTGTATTTGTCACATGCGCCGAATACTACATGTGTAGGTAGACCTTACCATGAAATGCTTACTTGCAAGCCCTTAACCAACAATGCAGTTTTAAGAAAATAGAGTTCCGAAAATATTTACTAAATAAACTAAAGTAAATAAAAAGTAACACAATAAAATAACAATAATGAGGCTATATACAGGGGGTACCGGTACCGAGTCAATGTGCGGGGGTACAAGTTAGTCAAGGTAATTTGTACATGTAGGTAGTGGTAAAGTGACTATGCATAGACAATAAACAGCGAGTAGCAGCAGTGTAAAAACAAAGGGGGGAGGGAGTCAATGCAAATGGTCTGGGTGGCCATTTTATTAATTGTTCAGCAGTCTTATGGCTTGGGGGTAGAAGCTGTTAAGGAGCATTTTGGACCTAGACTTGGCGCTCCGGTACCGCTTGCCGTGCGTTAGCAGAGAGAACAGTCTATGACTTGGGTGACTGGAGACTTTGACAATTTTGTGGGCCTTCCTCTGACACATCTAGTATATAGGTCCTGGATGGCAGGAAGCTTGGCCCCAGTGATGTGCTGGGCCGTACGCACTACCCTCTGTAGCGCCTTACGGTCGGATGCCAAGCAGTTACCATACTAGGCGGTGATGCAACCAGTCAGGATGCTCTCAATGGTGTAGCTGTGGAACTTTTTGAGGGTCTGGGGACCCATGCCAAATCTTTTCAGTCTCCTGAGGGGGAAATGGCGTTGTCGTGCCCTCTTCACGACTTTCTTGGTATGTTTGGACCATGATAGTTTGTTGGTGATGTGGACACCACTCACCTCCTTTGGCTTGATGACATTTTCTCACTGCTGGCTGGCTGGCTGGCCGTAAACACAAACATCAGAGACCTTGCAATCTAACCACTCACTCAAAAGGCACTACGTTGCAGAAATAGGATATTGTCATGGGATGCTTTTCTATATGACCTTTTTTCTGTGTCTAGATCCAAACATGACCTTACAATTAGACTGCTTATTCACTGTGCGTTACATAGCAGAAAAATGAAATTGTCAATGTCATGGGATGACAACGTTTCTATTTCTGAACTGTTTTTCTATTCTAGACAGAAACATGACCTTAAAATCTGTCCACTCACTCACAGAGCATTACTTAGCAGAAATGGGATATTGTCATGGCATGGAAGTTTCTGTATATTTATAAATGTTTCATTTGAATGACAATTAGATAAGCCATTGGTTGTGAGCAGCAATACCTACTTACAATAAGTGATAGTGTAAAGAGTTAAATAACACAAATCTGAATTCTAATCAATTTCATAACTGTTGACCTGTCCTTGTAGAGTTCACTGACCCATATGTTGTGTTCTACAGGAGCCTTCATGTTCCCCTACTTCATCATGCTGGTGTTCTGTGGGATCCCCCTGTTCTTCTTGGAGCTCTCCTTCGGACAGTTCGCCAGCCAGGGATGCCTGGGGGTCTGGAGGATCAGCCCCATGTTCAAAGGTGAGCCAGTTAACAACCACTGCTGCCATTGGTCAGTCATGTTTAAAACACTGCTGCCAATGCTCAGTCATGTTCAAAGGTGAGCCAACAACCACTGCTGGCGTTGGTGATTGGCATTACTATCACTGCCATTGGTCAGTGGCATCCAACTAATCACTGACTATCTGATGCTTAGGAAACTGAAAGATTGAAAATAAATTGCAGCATCTATTGTCGGCTTGGAATGCATATGTAAACATTCTTAGAAAACCTACAGATTTTCAAAATGTCTTCAGTCAGAGAGCCACAGTCTTGCCTGGTAGCATTCTGAAGTCCTCTACCCTCTCTCTCTCCCTCACTAGGTGTGGGCTACGGGATGATGGTGGTGTCCACCTACATCGGTATCTACTACAACGTGGTGATCTGCATCGCCTTCTACTATTTCTTCTCCTCCATGACCAACCTGCTGCCGTGGACCTACTGCAACAACCCCTGGAACACGCCCACCTGCAACGGCGTGGTGACGCCCACGGGCATCAACAACACCCTGGCCAACGTCACCCGCAGCCTGGTCACCAGTGCCGCTGAGGTCGCTGTGGAGGTAGTCAATAAGACCAAGAGGACCAGCCCCAGTGAGGAGTACTGGAAGTAAGGCCTTAGTGAGAGGGAGTTACTACTAGACCTGTAGAGTACTGGAAGTAAGGCCTAACACCGGACCCAGAGTCAGTTATCAATCTTTATTCGAATTCCAACAGATTTGATTCTAAATCTGTTGAGTACTGGAAGTAAGGCCTGAGTGTACACTTAAACAATTCCCAGGATTTCCAGAAGTCCTGGCTGGATGATTCCGGATTTCCTGGTTATTCCTATCTGATTCCGGGAATCTTCCAACCGGATCTCTGGAAAACCTGGGAATTTTGGGAGTTACTGTAATTTTGGAACCCTACAGTAGCTGAGTGGGAAGGTGTGGGCACGGCTGACACTAAGTCAGGCCTACTAGATTAAAGAGACTGGAGTAGATGCTGCAAGGGTTAATACACACACTACTGCACCTAGATATGGGTAGTAAAGTAGCGTCCAACATGTTTTGGCACATAAAGTACACTATATATACAAATTAGTGGATTCAGCTATTTCAGCCACACCAATTGCTGACAGGTGTATAAAAACGAGCACACAGCCATGCAATCTCCATAGACAAACATTGGCATTAGAATGGCCTCAGTGACTTTCAATGTGGCACCGTCATAAGATGCCACCTTTTTATTTTTTTTATTTTTTTTATTTCACCTTTATTTAACCAGGTAAGCCAGTTGAGAACAAGTTCTCATTTACAACTGCGACCTGGCCAAGATAAAGCAAAGCAGTGCGATAAAAACAACAACACAGAGTTACATATGGGGTAAAACAAAACATAAAGTCAAAAATACAACAGAAAATATATATACAGTGTGTGCAAATGTAGCAAGTTATGGAGGTAAGGCAATAAATAGGCTATAGTGCAAAATAATTACAATTAGTATTAATACTGGAATGCTAGATGTGCAAGAGATTATGTGCAAATAGAGATACCGGGGGGCCAGTATAAAAAAATATGTGTTCACTAACTGTAAGTCGCTCTGGATAAGAGCGTCTGCTAAATGACTAAAAATGTAAATGTAAAAAATGTGCAAAAGAGCAAAATAAATAACAATATAGGGATGAGGTAGTTGGGTGGGCTAATTTCAGATGGGCTGTGTACAGGTGCAGTGATCAGTAAGGTGCTCTGACAACTGATGCTTAAAGTTAGTGAGGGAGATAAGTGTCTCCAGCTTCAGAGATTTTTGCAATTCGTTCCAGTCATTGGCAGCAGAGAACTGGAAGGAATGGCGGCCAAAGGAGGTGTTGGCTTTGGGAATGACCAGTGAGATATACCTGCTGGAGCGCAGACTACGGGTGGGTGCTGCTATGGTGACCAATGAGCTAAGATAAGGCGGGGATTTGCCTAGCAGTGATTTATAGATGGCCTGGAGCCAGTGGGTTTGACGACGAACATGTAGTGAGGACCAGCCAACAAGAGCGTACAGGTCACAGTGGTGGGTAGTGTATGGGGCTTTGGAGACAAAACGGATGGCACTGTGATAGACTACATCCAATTTGCTGAGTAGTGTGTTGGAGGCTATTTTGTAAATGACATCGCCGAAGTCAAGGATCGGTAGGATAGTCAGTTTTACGAGGGCATGTTTGGCAGCATGAGTAAAGGAGGCTTTGTTGCGAAATAGGAAGCCGATTCTAGATGTAACTTTGGATTGGAGATTCTTAATGTGAGTCTGGAAGGAGAGTTTACAGTCTAACCAGACACCTAGGTATTTGTAGTTGTCCACATACTCTAGGTCAGACCCGTCGAGAGTGGTGATTCTAGTCGGGTGGACGGGTGCCAGCAGCGTTCGATTGAAGAGCATGCATTTAGTTTTACTAGTGTTTAAGAGCAGTTGGAGGCTACTGAAGGAGTGTTGTATGGCATTGAAGCTCGTTTGGAGGTTTGTTAACACAGTGTCCAATGAAGGGCCAGATGTATACAAAATGGTGTCGTCTGCGTAGAGGTGGATCTGAGAGTCACCAGCAGCAAGAGCGACATCATTGATATACACGGAGAAAAGTGTCGGCCCAAGAATTGAACCCTGTGGCACCCCCATAGAGACTGCCATAGGTCCAGACAACATTTTGACACACTGAACTCTATCTGAGAAGTAGTTGGTGAACCAGGCTATTTAGTCTGCCAATAAGAATGCGGTGGTTGATAGAGTCGAAAGCCTTGGCCAGGTCGATGAAGACGGCTGCACAGTACTGTCTATTATCAATCGCGGTTATAATATCGTTTAGGACCTTGAGCGTGGCTGAAGTGCACCCATGACCAGCTCGGAAACCGGATTGCATAGCGGAGAAGGTACGGTGGTATTCGAAATAATAGAATCCGTTCCACATTGAGTGAGGCGGGTTGCAGGAAAGTATATTTTGTAGAAGGATGAAAAGTCTGATAGGGAAATATGTACGAAAATTACAAAAAAAACAGGGTATTTACAGGCTATTTACAGACACACGACAAAAACAGAACTGCACTACTACGCCATCTTGGATTTTCCAACAAGTCAGTTCGTAAAATTTCTGCCCTGCTAGACCAGCCCCGGTCAACTCTAAGTACTGTTATTGTGAAGTGGAAAGGTCTAGGAGCAACAACGGCTCAGCCACGAAGTGGTAGGCCACACAAGTTCACAGAACGGGACCACCGAGTGCTGAAGCGCATAGCGCGTAAAAATCGTTCCAAACTGCCTCTGGAAGCAACATAAGCACAATAACTGTTCGTCGGGAGCTTCATGAAATGGATTTCCATGGCCGAGCAGCCGCACACAAGCCTAAGATCACCATGCACAATGCCAAGCGTCGGCTGGAGTGGTGTAAAGCTCGCCGCCATTGGACTCTGAAGCAGTGGAAACACGTTCTCTGGAATGATGAATCACGCTTCACCATCTGGCAGTCCGACGGACTAATCTGGGTTTGGCGGATGCCAGGAGAACGCTACCTGCCTGAATGCATAGTGCCAACTGTAAAGTTTGGTGGAGGAGGAATAATGGTCTGGGGCTGTTTTTCATGGTTCGGGCTGGGCCCCTTAGTTCCAGTGAAGGAAAAGCGAGCTCCATACAGAAATAGTTTGTCAAGGTCGGTATAGAAGAACTTGACTGGCACGTGCAGAGCCCTGACCTCAACCCCCTTGAACACCTTTGGGATGAATTGGAATGCTGACTGAGAGCCAGGCCTAATTGCCCAACATCAGTGGCCGACCTGACTAATGCTCTTGTGGCTGAATGGAAGCATGTCCCCGCAGCAATGCTCCAACATCTAGTGGAAAGCCTTCCCAGAAGAGTGGAGGCTGTTATAGCAACAAAGAGGGGACCAACTTCATATTAATGCCCGTGATTTTGGAATGAGCAGGTGTCCACATACTTCTGGTCATGTGGTGCATGGGTAAACAGAAATGTTTGTGTATCTCTAGAAGGCATGTTGTTTTAGATGCTATAGTCCAGTCCAGTCAGATGGCAGGCATGTGTGCTTTGCTAATCCTGGCCTATGATTTAATCATCCAGCATTCAACAAGCATTACTCATACTGTAGTTGACTGTCTGAAGTACACAAGATTAGATGTTTAGTATATTTTCCTAGACAATAATAGTATCTTGATTCCCTAGTGAATGGGGAGTAGTGTAGCTGTTTTATTCCCCTAGCATAGAGATTAGGGCCCATTCAAAGGGAGCAGTGTGCTTGGTTATTGGCTTTCTAAATGGTTTGTGCTTAGCTTTCATTCTGGGTGGTGTCTTCAGTATACCATGAAAGGAGTTGTTTTCCCTGCCAATTGTCAGTAAAGATAATCCATTGTGTTGCCACCAAGTTGTTTTCGGTCATGCTACTATATTGAAATATGTGCTTCGCTCGCTGTAATGCCAGGGAACATCCGAACAATTCTCCTTCTCTATCTCTCATGAATGAACATATAGCCATTGTTTGTCCCTGCGGCCCTGACTCTACCTTCTACATTTCTCTATTAAGATGCTGCTGTGAATAGACACTGTGATTAAGTGGCGCCACTCAGGAGTACTGTGATTGTACTCCTGAGTGGCGCAGTGGTCTAAGGCACTGCATCGCAGTGCTAACTGTGCCACTAGAGATCCTGGTTCGAATCCAGGCTCTGTCGCAGCCGGCCGCGACCGGGAGACTCATGGGCGGCGCACAATTGGCCCAGCGTCGTCCAGGGTAGGGGAGGGAATGGCCGGCAGGGATGTAGCTCAGTTGATAGAGCATGGTGTTTGCAACGCCAGGGTTGTGGGTTCGATTCCCACGGGGGGCCAGTATAAAAAAATATGTATTCACTAACTGTAAGTCGCTCTGGATAAGAGCGTCTGCTAAATGACTAAAATGTAAATGTAAATGTAATTAATTGTGTGTATTCCCCACAGACACTACGTGCTGCAGATCTCAGACGACATCGGGAATTTCGGGGAAGTCCGTCTCCCTATTCTGGGATGTCTGGCCGTGTCATGGGTGGTGGTCTTCCTCTGTCTCATAAGAGGAGTCAAGTCTTCAGGCAAGGTGAGCAGCGGTGTCTATCTCTCTGTCTCTCTCTTATTTTACATTTTACATTTTAGTCATTTAGCAGACACTCTTATCCAGAGCGACTTAAAGTTAGTGAGTTTTTTTTTTTCATACTGGTCCCCCGTGGGAAACAAACCCACAGCCCTGGCGTTGCAAACGCCATGCTCTACCAACTGAGCTACACGGGACTACTCTTATATCTCTTTTCTCTCTCTCTCTTATCTCTCTCTTTCTCTCTCTTAGTATGAAAAAAAAAAAGTATGAAAAATGTATGCACTCACTAACTGTAAGTCACTCTGGATAAGAGCGTCTGCTAAATGACTAAAATGTAAATGTTATCTCTCTCTCTCTCTCTCTCTCTCTTATCTCTCATCTCTCTACGTTCTCTCTCACCTCCCCAATGTCATTGTTTGGGCCAGTAGTGTTTCCCGGTCAGGTTACTTAGTCTATGGTCAGGATAAACTCCTAGTCATAGTGTATCATTGACACACATTAGGAGATGTTGTTTCTCACTCTTCACCTCTCGACGGTCCTCAGGTGGTGTACTTCACAGCGACGTTCCCCTACGTGGTGCTGACCATCCTCTTCATCAGAGGCATCACCCTGGAGGGAGCTGTCACTGGCATCAAGTACTACCTGACCCCACAGTGGCATAAGATCCTTGACGCTAAGGTATGGATAATCATATAGGAAATGTAGTAAATATAGTAATAAGTCATGTAAATCTATGTCATTAGCTACTGTAGCTAGTTAAGTACTACTTTATGAGTTGTTAACCTTGACTGTTTATTCATCATATAATAGCTCTGTAGCTCTTCATTGGCGTAATGTTATAGGCTGTTTCATCACACAGCTGTTGAAAGAGACTACTTTATAATCAGATGGAATATGCCTCAGATATGAAATAAGAGTGTTCTTCAGTGGTTGTATTGACACATGATTGTCTATCTGTCCAGGTGTGGGGAGACGCTGCCTCTCAGATCTTCTACTCTCTGGGCTGTGCATGGGGAGGGCTCATCACTATGGCCTCCTACAACAAGTTCCACAACAACTGCTACAGGTACTCTACTCTTCCTCTTCCCTCGCTTTTCACCCCTAAACTCTCCCCTCTACTACCAAATAAACCCTGTGTGCATCCCAAATGGCACCATATGGGCCCTGGTCAAAAGTAGTGCACTATAGAGGGAATAGGACACCAATTGGGACGCTTGTCCTGTCTGGGTTGTGTAAGAAGTGAAGGGCAGTGTGTGCGGTTACACTCCAGTACTTCTTCATGCTCGGTTGGAGTGAATCAGAAAGGGTCTTTGTTGCCTCTCTGGGTGCGATCACGCTACAGTGTCAGCAGTGATTAACAGAAAGGGTGCAGAATGGAGGAGGGCAGCTGCAAATCGCAGGAATTTATGGAGTATGGTGTGATGGTGTGCACTGCATGCCACTGTACTGTAGGTGGAGGCCAGAGGCAGTGCACTGGGAGTAGAGAGACAAAATGTATTTTTTTGACTCCTGTTAACCTTAAGGATTTGACCCTTTTTTTCAATGTTCGCCTAAAATGACATACCCAAATCTAACTGCCTGTAGCTCAGGACCTGAAGCAAGGATATCCATACTCTTGATACCATTTGAAAGGAAACACTTTGAAGTTTGTGGAAATGTGAAATTAATGTAGGAGAATATAACACATTAGATCTGGTAAAACATAATACAAACAAAAATGTGTTTTCTATTATTATTTTTGTTTCCATCGTCTTTGAAATGAAAGAGAAAGGCCACAATATAATATTGCAGTTTAGGCGCAATTTAGATTTAGGCAACTAGATGGCAGCAGTGTGTGTGCAAAGTTTCAGATTGATTCAGTGAAGCATTGCAATACTGGACTATTTTGTATCAAGTCTGCCGAAATGTGCCAAATTGGTCAATTGCTACATTTTCAAGTACATAACTATAGAGAACATACACAAATGATATGGTAATACGAAATGTAAGTTTACACACTCCCAGGAATGTCATACATGATGTATCATTAGCTTATACACAAACTTTCACACATCTAGATGGCTGGGCGGGGTGGGTGTGGCGCAAGAGACAGCAGGGGTTCAAACTGTAGAACCCAGTTCCTACATTTGAATATACAAATTGATTTTATCAAACAAAACTATGCTACATTTTATCTCTGGGACCCTTAGGATGACAAATCAGAGCAAGATTACTGAATGTAAGTACATTATTTACCTTCAGAGGTATCAAACCAGTTGCCGTGATAAGTTTTTTGTTGTTGTGCATTCTCCTCAAACAATAGCATGGTATTTTTCCACTGCAATATCTACTGTAAATTGTACAGTGCAGTTAGATAAACAAGAATTTAAGCTTTCTGCCCATATAAGACGTCTATGTCCTGGAAAGTTTGCTGTTACTTACAACAGTCATGCTAATCACATTAGCGCACGTTAGATCAACCGTCCCGTATACGGAACACCAATCCCATAGAGGTTAAACCTGCGGTTGCATTGTTCATTGTAGTTTACGGTAGTCAAACTCAAAGCACCCTTGGAAACTGGAAGAGGTTTTCTCTTCTCTATAGCACCACCATGTGGTGAAAGTAGTGAAATGATGGACGGGATACTATGAATCAATGATAGTGTAGTGACTGATAAACCCACCAGTTGTTAGAAACCAGGAAAAATATTTTCTCACACCTCTCTCTATTTAGTATGATCATAATTTTTGCTTATGCAATTAATATTTAGACTGTTTAGTATGCATGAATCTGCACTGGAAGTATGTATGATGGTGAAATGCACAGATTGCCTCTTAGTGGTTACCTACACAGAAACCTATAAAACGCATACTATTTCTTGGTTTTTACTAATAAAATGTACTTCCTGTTTTCTCTTTTCTGATTGGTCGCCCATACAGAGACAGCATCATCATCAGCATCACCAACTGTGCGACCAGCGTGTATGCAGGCTTCGTCATCTTCTCCATCCTGGGCTTCATGGCCCACCACCTGAACGTGGATGTATCTGAGGTGGCCGACCACGGCCCTGGCCTGGCCTTCGTGGCCTACCCAGAGGCCCTCACTCTGCTGCCCATCTCCCCCCTCTGGTCCCTGCTCTTCTTCTTCATGCTCATCCTGCTGGGCCTGGGGACGCAAGTGAGTCAGTCAACCATGCCACAATGACATCCTGACTGTGTCCCAAATGGCGCCCTATTACCCTAGGGCTCTATGTAGGGAATTGGGTGCCATTTGGGATGCAACCCCTGTCTAATAGGACTAATTTTCGATATAATTTAAGGACTGCATGACCGAATGTAGTCAGTTGGGCTCAACTTGACACATGTTGATTTTGGGGGGTTTTCATGTTGGAGAAAGTGGGTTTTTGAGAGAAGTAGATATAAGAAGTCAATGCTGAGTGTTGACCTGTCAATGTGTCCCTGTGTGCAGTTCTGCCTGCTGGAGACCCTGGTGACAGCCATCGTGGATGAGATTGGTACTGACTGGATCATTAGGAACAAGACGGTGGTCACAGGAGGAGTGGCTATAGTGGGCTTCCTGCTGGGGGTGCCGCTCACCACACAGGTAATGGAGATGTGTACACACACATACACACAAACATACACATAAATACACATTAGGGTTGAATATTTTCCCGGTATTTTACAATGTTCCATCCCAAGAATAAATCACGTTTCTTCCGGGTAACCCGGTATTTCCGCCAAAACCGGAAGTGTCATTCAAAAGCATATAAATAGGCCTGTGTCTGGATTTGATTAGAGCTTTGATCAAAAATTCAAGCATGACGCTACCTGAGCCTGATGATCCATACATTAAATACATTTTATGAGCCTTCGCTACATTAAAGACATTTTATGAGCCTAAGCCCAAAAAAGCCCAAATGATTGTGGCGTTATCCAATACATATATGATATATAGGCTACTGCACATTATGCACGACATAAAATCCCATATATGTAGCTAGGTATATGCTCTCTTGGGTAAATAAATGAAACTAGCTCCAGTAGGCTAATCTTTTTGAGTGTGAACTGTATTGCTGTACTGTATTGTATTATACTGTCCTCTTAGTATGCATTTCGCCACTTTCTGTTGAACGCGGAATGAGGGAGAGTTCGGTTTGTTGTTTTGGACAGTTTTGAAAGTCTATTGAAAAGTTTCTTAGTAGCTAGCTACCTTTTGAGTTTGGATCCCGCGACGCGGTTGGCATCAGTTGCTGGGACCGCTACTATCTGTCCAGTGATCCTGCCGACCAAGGCCAGGTCTGATGAGCTGATTGGCATAGTAGCTAGCCTATCTGCTAGCTAGCTGCCTATCAAGCTAGCGCCTGGGTTTTCTTGAGGGCTTGAACGCAGCCCGCGACGCGGTTAGCCATTGTGGCTGGGACTGAGGATTGTCCCGGGCTTGTGGCTGTCTAGATCCCTGCTGTTTGTTGTTGTTTTCAATCTTCCCTAGCTTCAAGTGTCCCAATACTGGTGGAGTCAACTAATAAAATAATGGACGACCTGACCAGAAAGGTCCAGGACCTGAAGAACAGTTTGCAGTTCTCCCGGGGTCAGCACGATGAGTTTAAACAGATAAAGGCAAGATGACAGCAATCTGTAAATCACTGAGAGAGGACATCAGTTCTGTATGTGAATCCATGATAACAAGGCCGATAGTGGTCAACTTCCTGAGGTTCAAGGACAAGGTAGCTGTTCTGGAAAGAGCCAAGAACTTGAGAGGAATGTGTATCTTCCTCAACAAGGACTATCCGGAAGCTGTGCGTCAGAAGAGGAAATAACTTATCCCAGCCATGAAAGCTGCCAGAGCGCGTGGGGACATTGCTTACATCCGCTATGACAGGCTCATTGTCCACCCTCCCCCCCAAAAGCCTGGAAGGGATGAGAGACCAAAGCCTATGGGTTTGTAGCGTCAACCCCGCAGCACACACCAACTGATTATTTTTGTATCTTTCTTTGTTTGCTCTTTTCCATATTATGTCTATCTCTGATATGCTACCCAGGAAAGAGCTGAAAATAGCCCATATTAATATATGTAGCCTTAGAAATAAGGTTCATGAAATCAATAACTTGCTAACATCAGATAGCATTCATATATTAGCCATTTCTGAGACTCACTTAGATAATTAATTTGATGATACAGCAGTAGCAATACAAGGATATAACATCTATAGAAGACACAGGAATGATTATGGGGTAGGTGTTGCTGTATATATTCAGAGCCATATCCCTGTAATGCTTAGAGAATATATATGTATTTTTGTAATTTAGCAAACGCTCTTATCCAGAGCGACCTACAGTTAGTGAGTGCATACATTTTATTTTATTTTCATACTGGCCCCCCGTGGGAATCAAACCCACAACCCTGGCGTTGCAAGCGCCATGCTCTACCAACTGAGCTACACGGGACTGTGTCAAGTGTTATTGAAGTGTTGTCGTTGCAGGTTCACTTGGCACATCATAGGCCTTTTCTTTTGGGGTGTTGCTATAGGCCATCAATCGCTAACAGTCAGTATCTAAATAATATGTGTGAAATGCTTCATAGTGTATGTGATGTAAACAGAGATGTCTACTTTCTTGGGGACCTGCATATTGACTGGTTTTCATCAAGTTGTCCGCTCAAGAGGAAGCTTCTCACTATAACCAGTGCCTGTAATCTGGTTCAGGTTATTAATCAAGCTACCAGGATGTTTACAAACACTATAGGAACAAGATCATCTACATGTATTGTTAACATTTTTACTAATACTGAAGAACTTTGTTCTAAAGCTGTATCCGTACCCATTGGATGCAGTGATCACAATATAGTGGCTATATCCAGGAAAGCCAGTTCTGAAAGCTGGGCCTAAAATATTGTATAAGAGATCATACGAAAGTTTTTGCTGTGACTCTTATGTGGATGGGGTAAAAAGAGAGATGGGGCAAAAGGAGTGGCTAATAAGTCTGGCTGCACATCTGACTGGCTGACTTACTGCAAATTAAGAAATTATGTGACTAAACTCAACAAAAAGAAGAAGAAACTGTATTATGAAGCTAAGCTCAACGATATAAAGAGTAATGCAAAAAAAACTTTGGAGTACTTTAAATTATGGGCAGAAAGACGAATTCAACAATCCAAATCAGATGACTTATTCGTCACAAAACCATTTGATGTTGCCTATTACTTTAATGATTACTTCATTGGCAAAGTGGCCAAACTTAGGCATGAAATGCTACAACGAACAGTGAGCCATCATACTCATGCATAAAAAAAACACGTTTTGAATTTTGTAAAGTTAGTGGGGGGGGGGATTCTTTGTCCTCAGGTCTGGAGGGAAGTCAAAGTAATTCTACTACCCAAGAGTGGTAAAGCAGCCTTTACTGGTTCTAACAACAGACCTATCAGCTTGCTGCAAGCTCTTAGCAAACTGTTGGAAAAAATTGTGTTTGACCAAATACAATGCTACAGTGGGGGAAAAAAGTATTTAGTCAGCCACCAAGTTCTCCCACTTAAAAAGATGAGAGAGGCCTGTAATTTTCATCATAGGTACACGTCAACTATGACAGACAAAATGAGAAAAAAAATTCCAGAAAATCACATTGTAGGATTTTTTATGAATTTATTTGCAAATTATGGTGGAAAATAAGTATTTGGTCAATAACAAAAGTTTCTCAATACTTTGTTATATACCCTTTGTTGGCAATGACACAGGTCAAACGTTTTCTGTAAGTCTTCACAAGGTTTTCACACACTGTTGCTGGTATTTTGGCCCATTCCTCCATGCAGATCTCCTCTAGAGCAGTGATGTTTTGGGGCTGTCGCTGGGCAACACGGACTTTCAACTCCCTCTGGGGTTGAGATCTGGAGACTGGCTAGGCCACTCCAGGACCTTGAAATGCTTCTTACGAAGCCACTCCTTCGTTGCCCAGGCGGTGTGTTTGGGATCATTGTCATGCTGAAAGACCCAGCCATGTTTCATCTTCAATGCCCTTGCTGATGGAAGGAGGTTTTCACTCAAAATCTCACGATACATGGCCCCATTCATTCTTTCCTTTACACGGATCAGTCATCCTGGTCCCTTTGCAGAAAAACAGCCCCAAAGCATGATGTTTCCACCCCCATGCTTCACAGTAGGTATGGTGTTCTTTGGATGCAACTCAGCATTCTTTGTCCTCCAAACACGACGAGTTGAGTTTTTACCAAAAAGTTATATTTTGGTTTCATCTGACCATATGACATTCTCCCAATCCTCTTCTGGATCATCCAAATGCACTCTAGCAAACTTCAGACGGGCCTGGACATGTACTGGCTTAAGCAGGAGGACACGTCTGGCACTGCAGGATTTGAGTCCCTGGCGGCGTAGTGTGTTACTGATGGTAGGCTTTGTTACTTTGGTCCCAGCTCTCTGCAGGTCATTCACTAGGTCCCCTCGTGTGGTTCTGGGATTTTTGCTCACCGTTCTTGTGATCATTTTGACCCCACGGGGTGAGATCTTGCGTGGAGCCCCAGATCGAGGGAGATTATCAGTGGTCTTGTATGTCTTCCATTTCCTAATAATTGCTCCCACAGTTGATTTCTTCAAACCAAGCTGGTTACCTATTGCAGATTCAGTCTTCCCAGCCTGGTGCAGGTCTACAATTTTGTTTCTGGTGTCCTTTGACAGCTCTTTGGTCTTGGCCATAGTGGAGTTTGGAGTGTGACTGTTTGAGGTTGTGGACAGGTGTCTTTTATACTGATAACAAGTTCAAACAGGTGCCATTAATACAGGTAACAAGTGGAGGACAGAGGAGCCTCTTAAAGAAGAAGTTACAGGTCTGTGAGAGCCAGAAATCTTGCTTGTTTGTAGGTGACCAAATACTTATTTTCCACCATAATTTGCAAATAAATTCATAAAAAATCCTACAATGTGATTTTCTGGATTTTTTTCTTCTCAATTTGTCTGTCATAGTTGACGTGTACCTATGATGAAAATTACAGGCCTCTCATCTTTTTAAGTGGGAGAACTTGCACAATTGGTGGCTGACTAAATACTTTTTTCCCCCACTGTATTTCTCTGTAAACAAATTAACAACATACTTTCAGCATGCTTATAGAGAAGGGCACTAAAGATGTACTGCACTGACACAAATGTCTGATGATTGGTTGAAAGAAATTGATAATAAGAATATTGTGGGATTTCAGTGCAGCCTTTGACATTATTGACCATAACCTGTTAGAGCACGGCGCTTGTAACGCCAAGGTAGTGGGTTCGATCCCCGGGACCACCCATACACAAAAATGTATGCACGCATGACTGTAAGTCGCTTTGGATAAAAGCGTCTGCTAAATGGCTATTATTATTATTATTATTATTATTATTATTATTATTATTATTATTATTATTATTATTATTATTATTATGGCTTTTCAACGTCTGCCATATCGTGGATTCAGAGCTAGCTACAGTGGGGAGAACAAGTATTTGATACAGTGCCGATTTTGCAGGTTTTCCTACTTGCAAAGCATGTAGAGGTCTGTAATTTTTATCATAGGTACACTTCAACTGTGAGAGACGGAATCTAAAACAAAAATCCAGAAAATCACATTGTATGATTTTTAAGTAATTAATTTGCATTTTATTGCATGACATAAATATTTGATACATCAGAAAAGCAGAACTTTATATTTGGTACAGAAACCTTTGTTTGCAATTACAGAGATCATACGTTTCCTGTAGGTCTTGACAAGGTTTGCACACACTGCAGCAGGGATTTTGGCCCACTCCTCCATACAGACCTTCTCCAGATCCTTCAGGTTTCGGGGCTGTCGCTGGGCAATACAGGTGTCTTTTTTTATACAGGTAACGAGTTCAAACAGGTGCAGTTAATACAGGTAATGAGTGGAGAACAAGAGGGCTTCTTAAAGAAAAACTAACAGGTCTGTGAGATCCGGAATTCTTACTGGTTGGTAGGTGATCAAATACTTATGTCATGCAATAAAATGCAAATTAATTACTTAGAAATCATACAATGTGATTTTCTGGATTTTTGTTTTAGATTCTGTCTTGCACAGTTGAAGTGATAAATGATTATAAAAATTACAGACCTCTACATGCTTTGTATGTAGGAAAACCTGCAAAATTGGCAGTGTATCAAATACTTGTTCTCCCCACTGTATCTAATAGAACTCAAAGGGTTTTCTTTAATGGAAGTTTCTCTAATGTCAAACATGTCAAGTGTGGTGTACCGCAGGGCAGCTCTCTAGGCCCTCTACTCTTTTCTATTTTTACCAATGACCTGCCACTGGCATTAAACAAAGCATGTGTGTACATGTATGCTGATGATTCAACCATATACACATTATCAACCACAGCTAATGAAGTCACTGAAACCCTTTAATGGGTGGCTAGTAATAAACTGGCCCTGAACATCTCTAAAAGTAAGATAATTGTATTTGGTACAAATCATTCCATAAGTTCAAGACCTCAGCTGAATCTGGTAATGGATGGTGTGGCTGTTGAACAAGTTGGGGAGACTAAATTACTTGGTGTTACCTTAGATTGTAAACTGTCATGGTAAAAAATAACATAGATTAAATGGTTGTAACGATGGGGAGAGGTCTTTCCATAATAAAGAGATGCTCTGCTTTTATGACACCACACTCCAAAAATCAAAGTCCTGTAGGCTCTAGTTTTGTCTTATCTTGATTATTGTCCAGTCGTGTGGTCTAGTGCTGCAAGGATAGACCAAGTTAAACTGCAGCTGGCCCAGAACAGAGCGGCACGTCTTGCTCTTCATTGTAATCAGAGGGCTAATATAAATACTATGCATGCCAGTCTCTCTTGGTTAAGAGTTGAGGAGAGACTGACTGCATCACTTCTTTTTATAAGAAACATTGTGTTGAAAATTCCAAATTGTTTGCATAGTCAACTTACACACAGCTCTGACACACATACACACATTTTTTTTTAAACATTTTAGCAGACACTCTTATCCAGAGCGACTTACAGTTAGAGTGCATACATTTTATTTTTATTTTTTTCACACACACACACACTTACCCCACCAGACATGCCCCCAGGGGTCTTTTCACAGTCCCCAAATCCAGAATAACTTCAAGAAAGTGTACAGTATTATATAGGGCCATTATTGCATGGAACTCCCTTCCATCTCATATTGTTTAAATGAACAGCAAACCTGGTTTAAAGAAACAGATAAAGCAACACCTCACGGCACAACGCCTCTCCCCTATTTGACCTAGATAGTTTGTGTATATGTAGGCTACGTGTGGCATTTTTGCAACGCCAGGGTTGTGGGTTCGATTCCCATGGGGGGCCAGTATGAAAAATGTATGCACTCACTAACTGTAAGTCACTCTGGATAAGAGCGTCTGCTAAATGACGACATGTTTTGTGTGGACCCCAGGAAGAGTTCGCAACAGCTAATGGGGATCCTAGTAAAATACCAAATACTGTATTATATGGACTGGAATTACACACATTGTTCAAACCATGATAAAGCAGGGAGAGAACATGCAATTCGGGTGCAGCACATGTGGCCTACAAAGTTACAAATCTAGGCTAGCGAATTTGCTTTTAATTTTTTAATATAATATTTGTATAATTAGTAGGCTGGCGCAGATATACCTTTCATATAATATTTCCCCTAATGTTATTAGCCTACCTCCTCTTTCTCTCTCTGTTGTTGCTTCATTCATTCCTCGCTTTCAACAGATAAATGAAATAAGTTTTGTTGTCCTTATCTTCATCATTCTAATGACATGCTTGAATAATATAGGACTAGAATTAGATGCAGACGGCTTTCATTTGTCTTCACAAAGATTGAATGGGTCTGAATAAATAACTGCTATAGCCTACCGCCATCGCACGTTCGCTCTTCAAACTACCCGTGAGTTCTATTGGCTGCTGTATTTAACATTCAGCAAACAAGAGCTTGCGTCCCTCTTCGAATAGTATATCGGAATAAGAAATGCTAAAGAAAAAATGTCCAGCAAGCTATTCTAGTCTAGCTTTTCCTCCTTGGGACTCCAAGAGCTAAGGAGCGTTTTTTAAGGAGGGAGGCCAGCGAAGCATAGGTGCGTGCATATTGCGCAAGAGACAGAGGCTATAAGTTAGAAGCTTATTATGCATAACCCATCATTCATTAGCTAAATATAAGGCTAAAACTGCATTGAATGTATTACCTGAAAGAGGTAGGCTAGTATATCTATCTATCTCAATATTGAACAGGATTATCTATTTTGGATGCAATTTGAATGGAATTGATGGAGAGAGAAAGACTGTGAGAGAGTGCTCGCACGTGCATGGATTTAAAGCAACAATATTTAAGTGATAGGCTGTTTTAAAACTCTGCAGCTGCAATAGAAAATAAATACAAAATCTTTACAATTAAACCCCCGAAAGCCAGATGGAGCAGTGGAGGCTGCTGAGGGGAGGATGGCTCATAATAATGTCTGGAATGGAGTCAATGGAATGGTATCAAAGACGTGGTTCCATGTGGTTGATACCACTCCATTGACTCTATTCCAGCCATTATTATGAGCCTTGCTCCCCACTGAGATGGAGATGGTTAATTAGACACGCATTCTGTCTTTATATTACTGTAGCATAGGCTATGCTGCAGCTAATGTTGGCCTACCTGTCACAAGGGGAAAAAAAGTTACCATGATGAGATGATAGGTCTACATGCATTGTGTACTGTGCTCCATACTGAGATGGTCTGTATGTCCCCACCCTGAGCGTTGATGATTCATGCAGAGAGAAGGCCGTAGAGAAGCCAGATTTAGACATCGCATATAATTTAACAGCTCATAGAAATAATTGATTATAATGTTTCAATTTCTTGCTGTTAATTATCCCGGGAAAAGGGAGTTGTTTTGGGCGGTAAATCTTGGTAACCGGGTTCCCGCCATTCAACCCTAATATACATGCATGTGCGCACACACACATAAACACACACTTAATTATTCAGGGGTATAATCATTAGTCCAAACAAATATTCAGGATGTATACTGATGTTGTATTCTCCACTTGTGCTCTCATGTCTTTAGGCTGGGATCTACTGGCTGCTGCTCATGGATAACTACGCTGCTAGTTTCTCTCTGGTTATCATCTCCTGCATCATGTGCATCTGCATTATGTACGTCTATGGTGAGTCCAACTGTCTTTCCTTGATTATAAATATATATTGTCCACAACACTCTGCCAAGGCTATTGGTGACAGCTAATCAAACTGACTGAATGACTGACAACAAGCTGTACTGTTTGTGTTCAGGACACAAGAAATACTTCAAGGATGTTGAGATGATGCTGGGTTTCCCCCCTCCCATCTTCTTCCGGGTCTGCTGGAGATTCGTGTCCCCCATCATCATATCTGTAAGAGCATTTCATCAGCCCCCTCTCCAGTAGCTACCACTCCACGGCCTCGGAGTTGGCATGTTTTAGAGGCTTCACCTGCTCTGCATTCCATTCATCTGTATGGCAAGACTTTCACTTTTGCCTTGTTCTCAACAAAACCTGTTGTGCAAAATATCTTTCTGCAACAGAATGACCTAGACCTAGGACACAACTTGATGAACATACTGTATGGACTTTATGCAAATGTCAATAATGTTGGTCTGTTTCAAAGTTTTAATGTACTTGTCCATAGAATGACATATAGAACAGAGTGACTAGTGATTTGTAGGATCTATGTGAACTTGACATGAATAGTCCCTCTCTGTCTTTGTATTTCCAGTTTATCCTGATCTTCACAGTGATCCAGTACAAGCCCATCACCTACAACGACTACGTGTACCCTGGCTGGTCCCTAGCCATCGGCTTCCTTATGGCCATGTCCTCCGTCATCTGCATACCCATCTATGCTCTCTACAAGATCGGCAAGTCTGAGGGAACCACATTTTTAGAGGTAAAATCCACAGGATCATTTTAGTAGAGCTCTGTCTGTGTTTAGTGTTGGAAGCAGATGTGGTTGGTATTCTAAGACTGGTGAAAGTGTTGTTTTTGTTTTGTTTGTTAAATGGAACATTTAGTCGAAGTGGTGCTCGATCTGAAAGAAATGAATGGTAAAAGGGAGAACCCGATTGGTGTTATGTTATTACGTAAATTGTATTACATAATTTTCTCAACTGCTTTACCTGCCTCTAATTAGTAATAAATAATAAACCTATGTTGCTCCCATCACGTTGACCTCTGACCCTCTACCCCTTACAGCGGTTGAAGAATTCGTGCAAGCCAGATATGAAGTGGGGCCCGGCCCTGAGTGAGCACCGGATAGGCCTCTACGCCACCCCAGGCTCAGATGGAGAGGTGGAGGTGTGTCCCCTGAAAGAGAAGGAGAAGGAGGATGAGAAGAGGGATGAGATCAGCCTCACCATCCAGGGCAGCAACGGCTCCACAGCACACAACACTACCCCCAGCACATAGAGGCCCCTCCTGGGCCTGCGCCAGTCCCCACCCAACCACCCTTTCCCACAGCACGTGGGGGAGAGCCCGCTCACTGGAGACCTTTACATATTGTAAGGGCTTATTATTTCTAACCTCTCTAAATTGGTCGTCATCCAAAATAATTTAACTTCTTGTTTCGACGTCATTTAATAATGCTTTTTTTTTTTCTCTTCTTCATATTATGCAGGCGTGTGTACACACTGTGTGTACATGGCACAATAGGGGAGGGACAACATTTTTCTCCTTCATCTGTAAAGATATCCATCGGAATTGGCAACTTTTCTAGTGACAGTGCTGGGGGTTTTAAAGCTGGAGGCCAAGTGTTCTTTGGGTCAGTGCTGTAGACATCCAAATGGAACCACTCTAGGGACTGATCTTTCCCTTCTGCTGTTTTGATCTACGTTATAGCTTTTGGCTCTCAGTACCCTCTAATACAATATAGTCTCCATTACTCAGACTGTTACGTATGCTGCTTTAGGGTTACCCATAACAACTCATATTGGAGTAAGCCAATGGCTTTTTAGCTACTGATCTGACAAATATTTAATTTGACTAACTACACAGTTAAGCCCTTGTACTTCCAATGATGGCAAACAACTAACATACATTACAGCACCAACCCCCCTCACACACAGAGAATGTTGGTCTCCAGCTTTCTGAACAGCTACCCTGACTGAAGCACATCACTTCCTAATGCCCATTCTCAGGGTCCCAAAACGATTTCCTACTTATTGAACACATTTACTCAATAACTGAGTAAATGTTTCTATGATTATGGTAGGCTTTACATAAGAGAGGGAGCTAAGAAAAAGACAACCATAACATGTTCACACACAAAAACAAATGGGTGGATGGATGGATGCAACTCAGTACAATAAAGTGCCATCTCTCTTTTAGTCTTCCAGGCATTTCCGTGGGAAATGCATCTCGAAATGTGGCATCTCACTTGTGGCATCTCATTTGTGAAGGGAGCGTTTGATTGAGGACCGAAGCAGCTAGCATATCGAGGAGGGAGTACACAGTGGTGTTGCCTCATAGCCTCTGTTACTCACAAGTAGGATTTGCCCCAACCAGGCATGTTACCAAAAAACATGTTGAACATGCATGAACTTTAATATCTCGGTGGCATAGCTGGAGTATGTGTCTTTGTTAACTTTTTCAAAACTGAGAGACTTGCATCAGCAGGTATCTTTGCAGAGGAAAATACATGTATTTACAGGCATTTTAAAGCTCTGAGCCACGTAGTGGTGTGATTGGATGTGGAAACAGGAAGGAGAGAGGCCATTGATTCGCCTGGAGATGGAGTTAAAAAAAAACATCAGTCATCTTTACTGAATTATGTAGTTTATATGTAGTTGTATAGTATCGTTCTCTCTATAGAATGTTCTTATTTTTATCTTTTATTATTGTAAAGTAACATAGTAAATAATTATATGGAAAACGTGTTGATTTTGTAAAGAAGCAACAGCATCTTAAGAAATAACAGTAATGTTTACCATTCCTCATCCATGACTTGATTTTTTTATTGGTAATTGTTTTATTTTAGGGGGTTGGAGTGGGAGGGACATGTATTTCAGTCACTTTGTGACAGGATGCTGTGGGGGTTGGGTTTAGGGTGGGAGTAGTGCTCTCACAGATTGCTGGAATTGGCAATTGTCAAGAAGTCCCATCTCTCCATCTAATTTGAAGCATTTGTCTCTGCTCTGTTACATCTGTGTTGCAGTGAGGCAACGACCTGTCTGTGGTAACATCGTAAATCCACTGTGTCCTTGCCTGGCCTGCACTGATGGAGAGAGGTAGTCTGGCAATGTAGCTGCTAAAGTGCTAGAGCATCGCATCTTAGTGAAACTTCCGATTTTTTAGTTTCTTCTTTAGCCAGTACGTCACTGTATATAATGTTCAACATCTTTATCTGACTGCATAAATCCAGTTTCTGCTGTCATATGACTATGAGTTGTTCACTTCCATGTTACTTCAGTTTCACGGTGTTAAAAGTGTAATGACAGTTAACTATCCAGACATGATCCTAAATGGAAATGAAACCTTGCAGTCCAACAGGAGGCATATCTGACACTCAGGGTAGTAGATAGGTGTTATTTGGTCCCGAATGTGGTGCCATTTGGGACATACCCAAAGTCATTGGTTATTTAAACAAAAAAAACAAGCACGCCAGTAGGTTAGATACAGCACAACAGACTCAAGTTTGACTTCAGATGGAAACAGACTAGTGTGTTCTCCTATGATGATGACAGAAGCACAGTACGGCTACACTAATTCATCTGTTATAAAGCAGAGGAGAATGACGATAGCACAGGATATTAATAATAATGATGATTTTAACTGATATGTGTGTCTTCAAGTTCTAAACACAATATGGATACATATCATTTTGGTAATAAGGAGTTTAAATGGTTGAGATAAAGTGGGTTAGTATATAATGGCCCAGAAGACATAATTTGATAACATAATTAAATGATGTATGGTTATTCTCGACATCCGGCTCAGGCCAGGGAGTCCTCTAGGGCTTTTACTTCTTCTTCCTGTTGCTGTTGAACTGTTGACTTGTAGTTCTCTTCTTTATAACAGTAGTAAGTTAGGATAACCACCATGCTATTGCAACCCTTTGGTCTCTGCTGTCCCCGGAATTCTTCCTCTAGCAGATACTTGTACAGTAATGTAAAAAAAAATTGGAACTGGTGTTTTGTTTTTTTATGTTTTTATTTTGGGGGTAGGCGGGGTATTTTTATTTTCTTGTAATAAAATTTGCCAATGTTTAGTGTAATATGTATTTCTGTGTAGTGGATACCCTACTGCTGACTACTATTTTTAGATCAGGATAGTGTCAGTATTGATGTCATATAATTCTAATCAATCAGTAACTATCCATCTTTTCATCTAACAAAACACAATCTACCTTTTTAAGAGATATTTTGTTTTTGTACTAAACAAACATGTATTTTATCGTCAAGTTTTATCATCCATGTTCAATGACACTACCTTTATCTTGTTCTAAAAGGCAGCTGATATCAAAAGTATTGCCAAACAAAAGTTTGGGTTGAAACTTGAAATTCAAAGGAATGCATTTAACAGTATGTTCTGTTGGAGGTACATGACATGTCTGCAGCTACATGACTGTTGGGGAAAGTACATAATAAGTGTTAATCTATTTTACAGAGTAATAATGCCAACACTGTGGTACTGTAGTGCAGTCACATCTGTTTACAATATAGCGACTGTGCTGTAAATTTGTTTGCGTAAACAGACTGGCCTTTTCAATTTGGTGGAGGAGTAATTTACAAAACAAGAAAAGGAAATCAAACACCATAATCAGTAACATTGTTTAGGCTCCCGGAAGAGTAGCTGCTGCTGCTTCAGCTAATGGGGATCTGAATAAAATACTAAATAACATCGTAAATACAGGCAATTACATTAGATGAATGTATTGGGGGACTTTGTTTTCATCTTATTCTTCCTTTTTTTGTCACTGGGATTATTTCATTAACTTGGCATTTTATCATTTGGTGAGACCCTGCCTTTAAAATTATAAACATAAGCAGGTAGTGTCAAATGTGCACTCAAGGACACATTGGATGAATATTAATATCTTTGACATTGTTTAGAAATGAATTGTTCATCAACTCATATTGAAATCACTGTAGTAAGTATTCTATATATGGGATGAATATATGTTACCAATTCTGGAAATTGATAGTAAGCCTCTACTGTACTAAAACTGATTTATCTGCTCTGTGGTTCGCTACAATCAGAGATCTCTGAATTCGTGTTTTTACAAGTTGTTTCAGCACTTTAAATCAAGTAATGTGTTTATAACATATCTAATAATACAAACTTCCATTTTGAAATAAGGTATTTCCAATGGTCTGAGTAAACTGTTGTCACTCAGCAGAGTAGACACGATGTTATGCCAATGTAAATTATATCATAAGGGAGAATAAAGCACAAATGAAATGAACACAGTACTGGTACGTTATCACTGCTCAAAAAAATAAAGGGAACACTAAAAGAACACATCCTAGATCTGAATGAAATAATCTTATTAAATACTTTTTTCTTTACATAGTTGAATGTGCTGACAACAAAATCACACAAAAATTATCAATGGAAATCAAATTTATCAATCCATGGAGGTCTGGATTTGGAGTCACCCTCAAAATTAAAGTGGAAAACCACACTACAGGCTGATCCAACTTTGATGTAATGTCCTTAAAACAAGTCAAAATGAGGCTCAGTAGTGTGTGTGGCCTCCACGTGCCTGTATGACCTCCCTACAACGCCTGGGAATGCTCCTGATGAGGTGGCGGATGGTCTCCTGAGGGATCTCCTCCCAGACCTGGACTAAAGCATCCGCCAACTCCTGGACAGTCTGTGGTGCAACGTGGCGTTGGTGGATGGAGCGAGACATGATGTCCCAGATGTGCTCAATTGGATTCAGGTCTGGGGAACGGGCGGGCCAGTCCATAGCATCAATGCCTTCCTCTTGCAGGAACTGCTGACACACTCCAGCCACATGAGGTCTAGCATTGTCTTGCATTAGGAGGAACCCAGGGCCAACCGCACCAGCATATGGTCTCACAAGGGGTCTGAGGATCTCATCTCGGTACCTAATGGCAGTCAGGCTACCTCTGGCGAGCACATGGAGGGCTGTGCGGCCCCCCAAAGAAATGCCACCCCACACCATGACTGACCCACCGCCAAACCGGTCATGCTGGAGGATGTTGCAGGCAGCAGAACGTTCTCCAGACTCTGTCACGTGCTCAGTGTGAACCTTCTTTCATCTGTGAAGAGCACAGGGCGCCAGTGGCGAATTTGCCAATATTGGTGTTCTCTGGCAAATGCCAAACGTCCTGCACGGTGTTGGGCTGTAAGCACAACCCCCACCTGTGGACGTCGGGCCCTCATACCATCCTCATGGAGTCTGTTTCTGACCGTTTGAGCAGACATGCACATTTGTGGCCTGCTGGAGGTCATTTTGCAGGGCTCTGGCAGTGCTCCTCCTGCTCCTCCTTGCACAAAGGCGGAGGTAGCAGTCCTGCTGCTGGGTTGTTGCCCTCCTACGGCCTCCTCCACGTCTCCTGATGTACTGGCCTGTCTCCTGGTAGCGCCTCCATGCTCTGGACACTACGCTGACAGACACAGCAAACCTTCTTGCCACAGCTCCCATTGATGTGCCATCCTGGATGAGCTGCACTACCTGAGCCACTTGTGTGGGTTGTAGACTCCGTCTCATGCTACCACTAGAGTGAAAGCACCACCAGCATTCAAAAGTGACCAAAACATCAGCCAGGAAGCATAGGAACTGAGAAGTGGTCTGTGGTCACCACCTGCAAAACCTGTCCTTTATTGGGGGGTGTCTTGCTAATTGCCTATAATTTCCACCTGTTGTCTATTCCATTTGCACAACAGCATGTGAAATTTATTGTCAATCAGTGTTGCTTCCTAAGTGGACAGTTTGATTTCACAGAAGTGTGATTGACTTGGAGTTACATTGTGTTGTTTAAGTGTTCCCTTTATTTTTTTGAGCAGTGTATATATCTAACCATGTCTCTTGAACCTTGGGGCCAAAATCCATCGAATTGTCTTAGTCATGTCAGCTGTATATCGTAAACTGTTCAATTACAAATGGTAAATAAAATCTATTTTAAAGATCACTCAAGTGTGGTTTATGTCCCATCTAGATTACACAACATGCGGTGTTTTCTCTTTCTGAACAGGTAATCGCTTTTGTTAGATGGGAGAAAGCAGATCCGTAATAAAACATGTATTACAGACATTTGAACATTTATCCAAATACATTCATTAAATGGTTGAATAGGTAGATAAAATGTTTAATAATTTCGAAAGCATTCAACCATATTGTCTTGTGTTCTCTTTCAGGTCTTCTATCAGTCTCTTGAAAATCACCATATAACATCCCTGTGCCTCTTGGCTCATTGAGGAAGACTATAGCCAATGCCAGCACTCAAATTCTTTATATTAAAGAGATTACGACATCCCTTTTACAAGTATGAGTACTATTGACCTCTGATAAGACACTTGTTTGTGAGGATATCTCATTTTAGGAGTGACATACATTGACCAGACTGCAGGTAGAACATACATTACAGTATCAGAGGTCGCCTTTACATAGTCAGCCCAATTCTGATATTTTTCCCACTAATCAGTCTTTTGACCAATCACATCAGATCTTTTTTCAGAGCTGATCTGATTGGTCAAAAGACCAATTAATTAAAAAAAGATCAGAATTAGGCTGCCTGTGTATCCTCTTCTTCTGTAGTAAAGAGTTTAGTTCACAAGGAGCTGACCAGGCTGTCCCCCTGTGGCAGACACAGGTGCCTGGCCGCACTCTGCCCTCTACTGGCTGTCCTCTGCATGGCGGGGGGCGCAGGGTGGAACATGCTTACGGGGCTCATCTGCTCACAGCTCCCTTTGCTCCCAGGAGGCTGTGTGGAGGAGCCTAGAGTACGGTGTCCAACAGAGAACAGACTGGGCCAGCTGTTTACTGTGTCTGACCATGAGTCATCATGTCTTTGAGCTCCCTCAGTCACAGCCTGACCACTACGCCTGCAAATTCTGCCCTTTACTCTCTGTTCTGAGGCAGGATTAAGGTATGGTCCAAGGGTTGTTACTGTACTGGCAGAGGCGACCAGGGGTGGTCGGTAGCTGTCCCTGTCTTGGGTGGTGGTGGGTCCTCTGTTACAGGGGTGGGAAGCCTCAGAGCTCTGGCTGTAAGTCCTTAGCTGTTCATATTCAGAGGGTTGGAGAGGGCTGGGTCCTCTGATGTTGGGTGAGCTGTGTGGCTGGCCTCTCATCCTGTCTAACAGAGGAATCCTCCTTACTAGAGATGCTACTAGAGGTGGCCTGGTATGAGGAGGATGGGGTCTGGGGGCTACCACAGGGGTCAAGTGTCTCTGGGTCTCATCCGCAGGAAAACCTGTCCATCCTGTCGACCTGAGAAGAGTAACAACGCCATTAACACCTTTAAACCTTTAAAGTAGGGGTTCTATTCAATCTGTATCGCTGAAGTGTTACATATTGCGCGATAGAAATGTAAAAGGTAATTTCCTATTGAGCCAACATGAAGCGTTTACCATGAATGCAGTCTCCACTAACGCGGGAACATTGCCTTTAAATTTCAATCACACTCTAACGATCACACATCTAGCCCTATGATGCTTTAAGATCCTTTCACGAGATAGGAACTGTCCATGCCGTAAGGTTTCTTAGAAAGCCCCTGAATGCCTGTAAATCCACAGAACAGAAAGTTGTAAAACAGGTATTTTGGATCTGTTGGAAAGGAGAGTATAGAGCAGACTGGAGGCCAACCTGGATCTCATCTGCAGGCGTGTTTCCACAGGGGAGGAGGAGGGACAGTAGGTGAGGCTGAGACTGAGACTCTGCCTCTTCAGATCCATCTGGATGACTCTCCTCTCCTCCTTCAGCTCTGTAAATCAACCGACACCAGGAGAAAATCATTCACACACATTTCTACAACACTATTCTAGAGCAGGCAGGCAGGGCCATCTTCCAACCCACACTTCCACATGGTCGACAGACATACAGCCACCACCACCACAGTGGCCCTTACCAATTTCATTTTGCTTAAAAGAAAAGAGGAAATATATTACTTGTGTAGTGGAGCAGTTTTTCTAGGAAGAGGAGATTAGAATACCCCTATAGATGGCTGCTCTTCTCTGCTGTGGCTTGGTGACAGTGGTAGCATCCCAAACTGCACTCTATTCCATTTTAAGTGCACTACTTTTGACCAAAACCCAAACTAGTGCACATCATGGGGATTATGGGTGCCCTTGGGATGCATACAGTGACAGGCCTCCATTTAAAGTGCGTTAAGCTGCAAATGATGTCTGTCAGAATGACAGCTAGCTACACGCCCTGCTCTGAGACACCCTCCCAGGGATTCATTCTACTCTGCAACAGAGAAAGAAACACCAGGGCTCAACTCTGGATCAAGTCAATTAGAAAGGGGAACAATGACATGGGATTGACAAGTTTAACAACACCCCGCAATCCGACTGGAAATGGTGAGAAGACTGACAGCCGGGTCGGCCTGTTTGAAATTAGCGTCAGACGCAAAGCCCCAGATAACGGGACATTGAGAGGGGAGAGGTAATACCTGTTGACAGAGTTCAATTACCACTCTATTGACCATTATCTTTTTCACCTGATTATCTGTGTCTTGAGTTTCATTAACTGTTTCCACTTACTCAAGCTGCAATGTTTTTCAATATTTGTAGCAGATGAGAGCTTGACAACACTGGCTTCTACTGGTTATTCGTAATTGCAAAATGTAAAAAATTAGAAGTAAAAGTATTTTGTAACAATAAACCACTAGATGGTAGTAAGGCTCAATTTATCTGATTGACTTCTAGATATAGCAGAAATGTCAGGACTCAGTCATTTATGTCAGGTCAATACAATAATAAAGAAAAGCAACTGTGTTTTTGGTTAGTCTTTTTTAGGAAGTGTGCATTGCATGTCAATAGACTTAGGACACTAATGTATACCTCAAAACGGACCGACAGTCATTGTCAGGGCAGTGTAGTTCACATGTTACGGGAAAACACCAGAACTCATGAAACTATTATGGATCTGGGCCCAGTCACCTCTATTAACTCTGGGCTCTGGTGTTCAGCTGGCCCAATATAGATATGTTATGTCAACCAGGATAGTGTATTACTGTTAGGGTTGCAAAATGTATAGTAACTTTCCCCAAAACATTTTTAGGGTTGGAGGATTGCTAGATTTTCTTGCTTTTTCCATCCTGATTCCAGGAATATTCCAAATAGGATTTCTGTAAAACCTGAGAATGTTGGTAAAGTTACCAGAATTGTTAAACCCTAATAGTGTATGACTGTACAGTAAGTGTATCACTCACCTGTTACAGTGGGCTCTGGAGCCTCAGTGACATCATGCTGTTTCTGGTGCTCCTGTTCCACACTATCCTGCAAGCAACAAATCCCACAGACAAGACATAACACCACAGGTCAACTACGGGAGCCAGCTACTGGTGAGCTGGAATAATATAACAAATGAGAAATAATGAAACTGGAGGGAGAGGGGAGGGGGTGTTACATGCAGAATGAGCCACTAAACGATTCAGCAGCAGCAGTGTTCATTCCATAAGGATTTGGTCTCTCTTTTAACATCTATATTCAGACTCAGATATTCAGATAGCTAGGAGCCCCACCACCAGAGGAATCCTCCTTACTAGAGATGCTACTAGAGGTGGCCTGGTATGAGGAGGATGGGGTCTGGGGGCTACCACAGGGGTCAAGTGTCTCTGTGTCTCATCCGCAGGAAAACCAGCCTACCTCCCTCCCACCAGCCACACTTTTTGCTTTGAGGTATTTACGCAAAGTCTCACTGCGTGCCACTGACGTATCATGGAGCTATGCGTCATCCCCACTCCCCACTGTCTAGCTAGCGGAGGGTTGTCGAGTGCCTAGCTGATCCTCTTGGTTTTTTGAAATGTAAACAAACAGAAGTAGAGAGTGATCTAGTTACAGAGGAGGCTATTCATTTGAGATGTGAGGTCTGAGAGGAGGGTGGTTAGACTACCCCGGCTCAGACTGCTGCCAAGGGAGATGGAATACCAGACTGGCGGTAAATTCCAAAATGGCACCCTACTCCCTATGTAGTGCATGACATTTAACCCATTGGGCTCTGATCAGAGGTAGTGCACTATAAAGGGAATAAGGTACTATTTGGGATGTACACAGCCCACAACTTCTCAATGGAGCGTCGACTTGAAACCCAAACCCTGCTTCGCAGAAATGGCTGTCCTTTTACTCTGAAAATAAAACAGCCTACTATTCCCGCAGTGCAGTGGTAAAAGGATAACACGCGACACCACCTTCTCAGTCTAATCTTTCTCCTACTTAGACCAGTGTTACAGTTGCAGTTGAAGTCGCATACACTTAGGTTGGAGTCATTAAAACTCGTTTTTCAACCACTCCGCAAATTTCTTGTTAACAAACTATAGTTTTGGCAAGTCGGTTAGGACATCTACTTTGTGCATGACACATGTAATTTTTCCAACAATTGTTTACAGACAGATTATTTCAATTATAATTCACTGTATCACAATTCCAGTGGGTCAGAAGTTTACATACACTAAGTTGACTGTGCCTTTAAACAGCTTGGAAAATTCCAGAAAATGATGTCATGGCTTTAGAAGCTTCTGATAGGCTAATTGACATCATTTGAGTCAATTGGAGGTGTACCTGTGGATGTATTTCAAGGCCTACCTTCAAACTCAGTGCCTCTTTGCTTGACATCATGGGAAAATCAAAAGAAATCAGCCAAGACTCAGAAAAAAAATTGTAGACCACAAGTCTGGTTCATCCTTGGGAGCAATTTCCAAATGCCTGAAGGTACCACGTTCATCTGTACAAACAACAGTACGCAAGTATAAACACCATGGGACCACACAGCCATCATACCGCTCAGGAAGGAGACGTGTTCTGTCTCCTAGAGATTAACGTACTTTGGTGCGAAAAGTGCAATTCAATCCCAGAACAACAGCAAAGGACCCTGTGAAGATGCTGGAGGAAACAGGTACAAAAGTATCTATATCCACAGTAAAACGAGTCCTATATCGACATAACCTGAAAGGCCGCTCTGCAAGGAAGAAGCCATTGCTCCAAAACCGCCATAAAAAAGCCAGACTACGGTTTGCCACTGCACATGGGGACAAAGATCTTACTTTTTTGAGAAATGTCCTCTGGTCTGATGAAACAAAAATAGAACTGTTTGGCCATAATGACCATCGTTATGTTTGGAGGAAAAAGGGGGCTGCTTGCAAGCCGAAGAACACCACCCCATGAAGCACGGTGGTGGCAGCATCATGCTGTTGGGGTGCTTTGCTGCAGGAGGGACTGGTGCACTTCACAAAATAGATGGCATCATGAGGAAGGAAAATTATGTGGATATATTGAAGCAACATCTCAAGACATCAGTCAGGAAGTTAAAGCTTGGTCGCAAATGGGTCTTCCAAATGGACAATGACCCCAAGCATACTTCCAAAGTTGTGGCAAAATGGCTTAAGGACAACAAAGTCAAGGTATTGGAGTGGCAATCATAAAGCCCTGACCCCAATCCTATAGAAAATGTGTGGGCAGAACTGAAAAAGCGTGTGCGAGCAAGGATCCCTACAAACCTGACTCAGTTACACCAGCTCTGTCAGGAGGAAAGGGCCAAAATTCACCCAATTTATTGTGGGAAGCTTGTGGAAGGCTACCCGAAACGTTTGACCCAAGTTAAACAATTTAAAGGCAATGCTACCAAATACTAATTGAGTGTATGTAAACTTCTGACCCACTGGGAATGTGATGAAATAAATAAATAATTCTCTCTACTATTATTTTGACATTTCACATTCTTAAAATAAAGTGGTGATCCTAACTGACCTAAGACAGGGAATTTTTACTATGATTAAATGTCAGGAATTGTGAAAAACTGAGTTTAAATGTATTTGGCTAAGGTGTATGTAAACTTCTGACTTCAACTGTATATGACCTCTATTTGGGACCATGTCGACTAGTCTACATACTTTCCAAGCTCGAGGATCATGAGATATTGTGGTAATTTAGTCATTACCGTAGACTGCCCACCGGCCTTACTCCTAAAATTGCATCTCTTTGAAAACAGCATCATTGCAGGGACAGAGCACTTTACTGTCCTGGTCCACGGCCAAGTCACTGAATTAAATCCTCCAACTCCCATTCGGGGAAGTGGGACATTATACCTATATTTGTACAAATTGCTGTCAAGTACTTTTCTTCTGTTCATTATGCCTTTGAATTGCGCTTAACATACCACAAAAATGGTGGCATAAACATCCCTAACAGATCAAACATTGACAAACTGGCTCTGTTCTAGCCTATCCTAGTCCCTAAATCTCAGGGATGTGTCCTGCGTGTGATAGTGGTTGGAGATGTGTGTTGCAGCACATACAGAGATGGCTTCCCCATCTGTTGGGCAGGCTTCCCCATCTGTTCAGTTCTCTCACCTTCAGTGCCAGATGAGCAGGACAGAGAGGCAGCCAGGCCCAGTCTGTAGACTGTAGAGGAGAGTACAGTAGGAACTTGGACTGATTGAAGGAGGATCAATCTTGTGCAGCAGGGCATTTGGCAAAACATAGTGCCTCTGGCCTCAGCAGTAGCTTGCAGGCTGGGCGTATGCAGGGAATATAATAATATGCACATTGTTAACAGCGGTTGAAGTTAATCAGGTCCATCTGAGGAGGGCTTGGTGATGATGACTGTCATTAGGTCAACAACAGGTTACATTGGTTTCCATTGTGTTAAACAGGCAGCTGTAGGCCTGTGTCGGTGGCAGCCAGCTCTTTCGGAGGAGTGAAAGGCTTGTTCTCTCCATGGTAGCTTTCAAATTTTGGGCAAAAAGGCAAACTCAGCTCCATCATTCACTGAACCAGATGGCTCATTAATCCCAAAACTCACTGATATTGCCAACTACTTTAATGATTTTGACTTAGGCATGACATGCCAGCAACAAACCCTACACATCCAAGTATATCTGACCAAATTATGAAAGTCAAGCATTGTAATTTTGAATTCCGTAAAGTAAGTGTGGAAGAGGTGAAAAAAGTATTGTTTTCTATCAACAATGACAAACCACCGGGGTCTGACAACTTGGATGGGAAATTACTGAGGATAATAGGGGACGATATTGCCACTACTATTTTCCATATCTTCAATTTAAGCCTACTAGTGTGTGCCCTCAGGCCTGGAGGGAAGCAAAAGTCATTCCGCTATCTAAGAATAGTAAAGCCCCCTTTACAGGCTCAAATAACCGACCAATCAGCCTGTTACCAACCCTTAGTACACTTTTGGAAAAAATGGTGTTTGACCAGATACAATGCTATTTTACAGTAAACAAATTGACAACAGACTTTCAGCTTGCTTATAGGGAAGGACATTCAACAAGCACAGCACTTACACAAATGACTGATGATTGGCTGAGAGAAATTGATGATAAAAATATTGTGGGGGCTATTTTGTTAGACTTCAGTGCGGCTTTTGACATTATCGATCATAGTCTGCTGCTGGAAAAACGTATGTGTTATGGCTTTACACCCCCTGCTATATTGTGGAAAAAGAGTTACCTGTCTAACAGAACACAGAGGGTGTTCTTTAATGGAAGCCTCTCCAACATAATCCAGGTAGAATCAGGAATTCCCCAGGGCAGCTGTCTAGGCCCCTTACGTTTTTCAATCTGTACTAACGACATGCCACTGGCTTTGAGTAAAGCCAGTGTGTCTATGTATGCGGCTGACTCAACACTATACACGTCAGTTACGACAGCGACTGAAATTACTGCAACAGTTAACAAAGAGCTACAGTTAGTTTCAGAATGGGGGGCAAGGAATAACTTACTCCTAAATATTTCAAAAACTAAAAGCATTGTATTTGGGACAAATCATTCACTAAACTCTAAACTTCAACTAAATATTGTAATAAATAATGTGGAAATTTAGCAAGTTGAGGTGACTAAACTGCTTGGGGTAACCCTGGATTATAATCTGTCATGGTCAAAACATATTGATACAACAGTAGCTAAAATGGGGAGAAGTCTGTCCATAATAAAGTGCTGCTCTACCTTCTTAACAGCACTATCAACAAGGCAGGTGCTACAGGCTCTAGTTTTGTCACACCTGGACTACTGTTCAGTCGTGTGGTCAGGTGCCACAAAGAGGGATTTAGGAAAATTGCAATTGGCTCCGAACAGGGCAGCACGGCTGGCCCTTGGATGTACACAGAGAGCAAACATTAATAATATGCATGTCAATCTCTCCTGGCTCAAAGTGGAGGAGAGATTGACTTCATCTCTACTTGTGTTTGTGAGAGGTATTGCCATGTTCAATGTACCGAGCTGTCTGTATGAACTACTGGCACACAGCATGGACATGGACACCCATGCATACCACACAAGACATGCCACCAGAGGTCTCTTTACAGTCCCCAAATCCAGAACAGACTATGGGAGGCAAACAGTAATACATAGAGCCATGACTACATGGAACTCTATTCCACATCAAGTAAGTGATGCAAGCAGTAGAATAAGATTTAAAAAACAGATAAAAACACACCTTATGGAACAGCGGGGACTGTGAAGAGACACAAACATAGGCACAGACACATGCATACATACGATAACATACAGTGGCTTGCGAAAGTATTCACCCCCCTTGGCATTTTTCCTATTTTATTGCCTTACAACCTGGAATTAAAATGGATTTTTTGGGGGTTTGTATCATTTGATTTACACAACATGCCTACCACTTTGAAGATGCAAAATATTTTTCTTTGTGAAACAAACAAGAAATAAGACAAAGAAACTGAAAACTTGAGTGTGCATAACTATTCACCCCCCCAAAGTCAATACTTTGTAGAGCCACCTTTTGCAGCAATTACAGCTGCAAGTCTCTTGGGGAATGTCTCTATAAGCTTGGCACATCTAGCCACTGGGATTTTTGACCATTCTTCAAGGCAAAACTGCTCCAGCTCCTTCAAGTTGGATGGGTTCCGCTGGTGTACAGCAATCTTTAAGTCATACCACAGATTCTCAATTGGATTGAGGTCTGGGCTTTGACTAGGCCATTCCAAGACATTTAAATGTTTCCCCTTAAACCACTCAAGTGTTGCTTTAGCAGTATGCTTAGGGTCATTGTCTTGCTGAAAGGTGAACCTCCGTCCCAGTCTCAAATCTCTGGAAGACTGAAACAGGTTTCCCTCAAGAATTTCCCTGTATTTAGCGCCATCCATCATTCCTTCAATTCAAACCAGTTTCCCAGTCCCTGCCGATGAAAAACATCCCCACAGCATGATGCTGCCACCACCATGCTTCACTGTTGGGATGGTGTTCTCGGGGTGATGAGAGGTGTTGGGTTTGCGCCAGACATAGCGCTTTCCATGATGACTAAAAACCTCAACTTTAATCTCATCTGACCAGAGTACCTTCTTTAGGGAGTCTCCCACATGCCTTTTGGTGAACACCAAACGTGTTTGCTCATTTTTTTCTTTAAGCAATGGCTTTTTTCTGGCCACTCTTCCGTAAAGCCCAGCTCTGTGGAGTGTATGGCTTAAAGTGGTCCTATGGACAGATACTCCAATCTCCGCTGTGGAGCTTTGCAGCTCCTTCAGGGTTATCTTTGGTCTCTTTGTTGCCTCTCTGATTAATGCCCTCCTTGCCTGGTCCGTGAGTTTTGGTGGGCGGCCCTCTCTGTTGTGGTGCCATATTCTTTCCATTTTTTAATAATGGATTTAATGGTGCTCTGTGGTATGTTAAAAGATCTGTACTTCTCCACAACTTTGTCCCTGACCTGTTTGGAGAGCTTCTTGGTCTTCATGGTGCCGCTTGCTTGGTGGTGCCCCTTGCTTAGTGGTGTTGCAGACTGGGGCCTTTCAGAACAGGTGTATATATATACTGAGATCATGTGACAGATCATGTGACACTTAGATTGCACACAGGTGGACTTTATTTAACTAATAATGTGACTTCTGAAGGTAATTGATTGCACCAGCTCTTATTTAGGGGCTTCATAGCAAAGGTGGTGAATACACATGCACGCACCTCTTTTCCGTTATTTATTTTTTAGCATTTTTTGAAACAAGTTATTTTTTTCATTTCACTTCACCAATTTGGACTATTTTGTGTATGTCCATTACATGAAATCCAAATAAAAATCCATTTAAATTACAGGTTGTAGGCAACAAAATAGGAAAAACGCCAAGGGGGATGAATACTTTTCCAAGGCACTGTACGCGCTCTACAGACACGTACACATGGATTTTGTTTTGTAGATATGTGGTAGTAGAGTAGTGGCCTGAGGGCACACACATAATATGTTGTGAAATCTGTTGTGAATGTATTGTAATGTTTTTAAAATTGTATAAACTGCCTTAATTCTACTGGACCCCAGGAAGAGTAGCTGCTACCTTGGCAGCAGCTAATCGGGATCCATAATAAATACAAATACATATTATAGTCTGGCTATCTCATTTTCATGGCCTTGGCTATTACTCAGACCCTTGGGTACAGCATACCCTGTATCTCAGTGCAAGCACATAGACTACTGCACATGCAGTACATTTTCTCAGAGCACAGACTATATTTAAATTGGAACAAAAAAGTGTGATTTTCCAAAATAGCAACCTATCTGGTATTGACTGGAATCAAACCGAATCTTACCTGCAGAAACTGAACTTGGCTTTTCAGCACCTCACATTCTTCTGACAGGACTGATCTGGTAGTGAAGAGAGAACACAACTGTTAGTCAAACTCTAAAACCATAGCATTTAATGACCGTTCATAAATTAGAATTTATACACTAATAAACTAAAGAAAAGTGAATAGCGTTAAACAAAAAACAATTCAAATGTATTTATTCTAACTTAGCATGCTATCAAGGTGCAGCTTTCCAGGAACTCAGCCGCCTGTTTTCACCGAATACGACCTTGAATCCTAAACAGACAGCCAAAAGCAGAGACTGAGTCTGCACAATAGTATGTTATAGTCCACATAGGGACCACTACATCCACATCCACTTTAAGACTTTTCTTATGGTATTGAGGGAGCAGTGGCCTATTTCTCTTTCTCAGTTATGTAACTATTGTAGACTTAATTCACTTCTTTCTTTTTTAGAAGCAAAGGAATCTTCTGCATGCTGAGATCTGGTATTCACTTTCTTACAATGGGTTGTTTTGTTCTGTGAGGGGATGGAGAGAGGAGAGGGCTGGCTGTCCCCCACCCTCCACCCCCTCCTCTCCCCCAGCTCCCCTCCAAGGTAGTGTTTGCATTCCCCTACAGGCCCAGGTGGGTAGGGGAGCTCCAGATGCCTGGCTCTGGCTGCCACGAAGCCAGGGGAAAGGGAGAGGGGAACCAGGGTGGAGGACACAGGCAGGAGAGGGGAACCAGGGTGGAGGACACAGGCAGGAGAGGGGAACCAGGGTGGAGGACACAGGCAGGAGAGGGGAACCAGGGTGGAGGACACAGGCAGGAGAGAGGGGAGCCAGACATGGGAAAAGGAGAGGGGAGAGGGGAACGATGACCAGGAGCGAGAGACCAGGGACTGTCCAGGACAGGATAGGAATCCACTATGATAGAGGGAACGAGAACAGAGGAAGGTAAAAAAGAGATACAGCGGGGTAGATGGAAGCTGGCCAGTACTCCTATCGTATAGCTAGCCCCTTTGTCTTTACTGTAACTCCATGTGTGTACAATGACGAGGACATTTCTGGTCTGTCCAAACAGGCAGATTTAGAGTGGGCCAGAGTGACAGAAGTCTGAAGAGAAATATGACTGCACAGAGGAATGTCTGAGGAGGAGGAGAAGGGGGTCCCTTTCCCACAGTCCCACAGCTGTATTCATTTCATTACAGCACTTCTCTGACTGTGGCTCACATTCACCCCATAGCTCATGGTCTTTCCTGTCTGGGACTCTGCAGGACACAGACTAAGATCTTGAAGTCATAGAATCTGCAATGCATTGACGGCAGACATACTAAAACTACTACTGTCTATCGCAATACTCATTTCAAATCGGTTGCATTTTATAGGGATCATTGCCTAAAAATCTCTACTTGGTAAGTTTTGGAACAGTTGCTCTGATGCAATTAGTCACTTACTTGAGGTGGGCCACAATGTCGTCTATGTGAGTGATGTTCAGCTTGTGTCTCATGGCATCAATGTCATCTTGGCTGGTAGTAGAAGTGACTGAGCTCCGCGAACAGGACCTGTGGGACCAGAAACGCATGTCTAAGGTCTATCCATATGACAGATAACAAGAAATACACAATGTGTGTTTTCAGCTGCACTTTTTCCTCTTGTGTTGTGGCATTTGTATTACAGTATGGGAAAGTATCTAACTCTTAACAGTCAGACTAACCTTTCTGCATGTTGGCTCTGGCTGAATTGTATTCCACTAGAGGTAGGCCTACTATTCACAGTGTCACAATGGTTGCTAGGGACACTCAAGGCGTAATTCACCACACTAGGACTGTACCGGAACAAGTCTGCGTCTCCATCCCTGAAAGTAAATAGATACAAACAAATAACCCCCAACATAGTGTGAAGGCATCAGAGAGGAGGGAATAGGATGACAAAACCCCCTGTCCTAATCTTCAGCCTCCCATGCTGAAAAGTTTAAAGCAGTGAAGCAGAAAGAGAGAGAGATGGGGAGAGAGAGAGAGAGCAGAAATGGGAATGTTATAGCAGCAACAGTCCTGCAGCCTTTCATCTCCTTCCAAGAGTCACCAGCCATGGAACAAGGTCTGTTGGATTATGGTTGTGGAGAACACCCCAGCTGTTTCAGAGTGGGGATGTTATGTTACTACACTGAGGCTTTAGTCAGAAGGCTGCCACAGAGTGGACACTGCCATTTAGCTGCACCTGCTTTTGATCTTCAGAAAAAAGGCTGTTGCAGATGCTGGCCAAGGATGCCCAACCCCCTTTTTGAAATCACATTACAAAGAAATACTGCTCGGGGGGGGGGGGGCAAGACTAATGACCCAAAAAGCTTACAAAATACATCCTCTCCTTTGGCCAAAGCCAACATTCTAGGCTACGGCCTGTTGTGATATATGATATGATATACTTTATTGTCTCCAAGGGGAAAATGTGACTTGGACAATAGATAGAGCTGCTGCTTCCACATAAATACATAGAATCAATTGACACAACATACATAGAATAACATCCCATCATACACCCCCCTCCCAACCCACACAAAAAGTTAATAAGTTCATGCAAGGCAAGGCTGTGACTAGGTGGCAGTTCCACATGATGAAGGCCAACAAGCCAGGCTCCAGTCCGTTATCTCCCTAGTCTGCCTGTGTCTCCCCTGCTGTTTAGCAGTTTAATTGACAGGGGGACAAAAACATCATGCCTGCATCTAGGTACCCTATATTCCTCCCTGATGGCATCAGCTGGAACTCTATGTTCAGTGCATGTGTGGGGTCCAATATGACCTTAATGGCCTGTCTGAGGATGGTCTCCTGGAGGGAAGTGTCATGCCTATAATCTTCCCTGCTGTCTTGGTCAGTCTCAAGATTTGGGCTTTGAGCTGCACTGTCAGGTTACCAAACCAAGTAACAATGCCGTAGCGTATTGTTGGATACAGACTTGAGCCCGTTTTAATCTGTTTATAATTGTATAATTAGCCTAGCAGTAGTAATTATTGTGTTATGGGTTAGATGGAATGATCTATGTGCATTGTATTTGGGCAGAGGGAAAGTACAACGGGGGCCTGTCTCTGAGGGCAAGCATGATTCTATAAGGGTTGAATAGGTGCCAAGTTTCTGGAATTAGAGCTGATAGATTGTAATTACTGTTCTATAACACTGTCTTATATCTTCACTGTTCTATACCATTACTGTATATGCTCTTAATATGAATATACAGTTTATATATATTCTTAGGGATTTAAAGTATTGTTAGGTTTAAGCTCTTTGTGTATGAGAATAATAATTATCTAGTGGACTGCAGTAGACTGCAAGAATGTGTACTCCCTAACTCAAGGCCTCTCCTGACTGATAAGAAGTCCTGTGAGAGGCGTGGAGGAGAACCAAGGTTCCGGACTCAAGCTGGGGTGATAACACCACCTGCCCAGCAACAGAGATTGATTGTTCATCCTAGACACAGAAGGGGGGGTCTAGTTGGGAAGGGTGGCTCAGTCGGAAGTTAGAAATATTTGTGCTTGTGACTTTGTATCGGTGTTCTTTGCAGCTGCGGTTATGTGGTGTGTGGTAAATAAATCTAGCCTGAGCTTTCTTTGGTATCCGTCTGGATTATTGAACCAGAACTTAGAAAGAACCTAACAGTAGGATTGACTCAATAGCGGATCTGTAGTATTGATTGACACAATAGTGGATCAATTGTGGATAGCTCTAAGTTGGACCCATATATCAGCAAAGATGATTATCAAAGGAATATAAAAATACTGACTCTATTGAAGCTTTGCAGCTCTTGAGTCCTATGCCTCAGTCTCACACTACAGTGCACAGCTTCTGGTGAACAAGAGTGTGTGGAGGAAGGGGGGGGGGGGGGGGTGAGTAGATGTAACAATCCCATTTCAGTGGCAGGCTGCTAGTGGAGCTACCCAGTCTCTCTGTGATGATAGGAACAGAGACTACATTGTGAGGCAGTGTAGTATAGATCACTAAGCATCTTAATCCCAGAGAGAGAAGGAGTCCTGATCTCAGTTAACAAAAATGGCACAGATGCCTGCCCCAACATCAAAAACCACACCATGTTCACAATACACAAAAAAAAGACAGTTCAAATCCCCCTCCGTCCTGGAACATTGATAAACTACGGATGTAAAATAAGTTACACCACAACCACAGCCACTTTTAACCCACTTCCCAGCTCCTCCAGCTCCAATTGTTATACTAGTTCCGTTCTGAGAATTTAGGACCTCCTTGGGCCCGCTTTCAGAAAACAAACCGCCATTTGAAGCCTATTTATTCAGAGTAGAGTCTTTACTCAATGGGAATTCAGCATACCCCCTCTCTCGCTCTCCATAATGGAACAGGTGCAGCTGCACTGAGGATGCCGACCACAAATCACTAAGACAATGGCATGGAGGGACAACCACACAAGGGGAGAGGTGGTCCAAACAGTTGCCAACCAGGTCCATTAAATCAGTTCACTTTCAAAGAAAGATGAATTCTAGCCACTCTACTCAGACACCCTTGTTCATTAAAGCCCTAGGCTGTAGGGTATTGAGTCAACTCAACAGTTTCCTTTGGGCAAGGAAAAAGAGAAAGGCCCAAACCAGGAGCAATATTAAAGGGAAATGATCCAGCAGCTTTGTCCTGAATGCAGTTCAGCTGATTTACAGTGATGTCTTAATTAGCTCATCAAAGACAGGGGATCATGTGGGATATACACACAGGCTGCATCCCAAATGGCACCCTATTCCCTACTAAGGCTGCGTTTCCACAGGCAGCCCAATTCTGATATTTTTTCCACTAATAGTCTTTTGACCAATCACATCAGATCTTTTCACATCAGATCTTTTTCAGAGCTGATCCGATTGATCAAAAGACTAATGAGTGAAAAGAAGATCAGAATTGGGCTGCCTGTGTAAACAGAGCCCTTGACTATGTAGGGAATAGGGTGCCATTTGGGACGTAACCAGAAACACAGGGCAGAGGCAGAGACCAACAGGACCAACCGGCAGGCAGCAGGGTGGTTGGAACTGGGCAGGTGTTCAAAGCATTACGTGGTAGCAGGGTTAACATGGCACTGATACCCAAAGTCTTTGCATCACCTCGTTGATCTGTACACAGGACTGTAAGTGCCGCCGGGGTTTGTTTTAAGTGAAATAATCCCTCAATGGTTTGGATTTGGTTCAGAATGTCAACAACTATGAAAGGATACACATTCCTAGAATACCTTTTAATAGTCTCATAGTCTCAGCAAAATCTGATGTTGCAGATAAGGTGGTCTGATTTAAACTTACAATATAGCTATGAATGAGATTTTTGTGAGATAGCCACTGCCAAAATACTGAACTGGTGTATCACATAAATTGGAAACAATCTTCAGTAATTTGTGTTTTTCCTAAATAGCAACAAAACTAAAATTATATGGGCAGAGTTGAGGCAGAGCTACATTCTTCAGAGCCTCCTACCAGTTGCTGAGAGATGGACAGGCCTCCCCTTCACATAGGTACCTGTAAATTACTGCTTTTTGGCATTCTGCCCTTGAGCTAGGCAGTTAACCCCCAACAACAACAGCTCCCCGGGCGCCGATGACGTGGATGTCGATTAAGGCAGCCCCCCGCACCTCTCTGATTCAGAGGGGTTGGGTTAAATGCGGAAGACACATTTCAGTTGAATGCATTCAGTTGTACAACTGACTAGGTATCCCCTTTCCCTTCCCTACACTTTGTTCCAATTATTACCAAACCATTTGTAACAGACTAAAAACACAGTTAGCATTTAAAGTTTTCATTGTTGAAGAAAACTAAAGGTACAAAGTGTGAAACAAGGGTCATGACCCCTAGGCCCAACCCTTTTCCAGTGGAAATAAAAGTCTCAATGGTTCTAATGGGCTCAGAACATTTATCACATGGAACTAACAAAGACCGGCAGGGAGACAGGAAGGGAGAGAAAGATGGGGAGAAAAGGCCTGGCCTGGGAAACGAGATCTATAGACATCCATCCCAACAATGTCACGTTCTCCTTGGTCCTCTGTCTGATTAATGAAAATCTAAACATTTTATTTCCCCAAAATTCAACCATTAGGCTAATCCAACATCATGATGTAAGAAGAAGTGTTGGTGTATGACAATTTCATAAATGCTTTATCAATTCCAACCTGAAGAGAAAACAAGAAGAGGAAGTGGAAGGAATGCCCACAGGGTTTTAATAGTATTTTCTTCCAGGGCTTCTTGTGCTGATATTCAAACAAGTTGCCAACAATGATTCATAGGCCATAAACATGTTGTTGTTACGTACAGTAGGACTTCAGTAACTGCATTGTAATTGCATAGTAATGGGCTTTGTCCCAAATGGCACCCTATTCCCTGCATAGTGCACTACTTTTGACCTGAGTGCTATGGGCTCTGGGGTGCCATTTGGGATGCAGACATGGAGTTGAGTAGTTTTTGTAATCAAACAGGAGTCTTCTCCTCACCTGCCCTCCTGGGATGCTCTCTCTCTCACGGTGCCCAGCAGCAGTTGGATCTCAGCTTTCAGCAGCTCCTTGATAGCAGGGGGGTCAGCCAGGGGGGAGCGAGGGGTCTTCGGCCTGTTACCCTTTTTATGGCGCAACGTCTGCCAAATCTGCTGCCACATTGTCACCTGGCAGTAGGAAACATGGGGAGACATGGGATAGGACATCAGGAGACAACGCTGTGTAACTTTAGGCTTATAATGAAGAGCGATGAGTCATTATGAATGATGAGATACAGTATCAGAAAGACCTGCGAAATGTTCCAGTAAAGCAATGAAAACAAGCAAGCATCACAGAAAAGTGCTCAA